CCCAGTAGTTGGTCTTAGATACCGACATGGGTTCACTCCCTGGTCGTAGGTTGTCCCATCATAGGAAATTAATGCCGAAACAGCCTGCTGGTTGCCCCTTAAAGGATAAGCTTCCCAATTTGGTGCTGTTCTACTGTGACAAATGACCAAGGAAGACAATCTAAGTTTGTCACCGTCCAGGAAATGTTAAATCTGCTGGAATAAAAATGCGTTCGAGCCACTGCGTATCGTCTAGATTCCTGCTGTTTAGTAAAGCTCATTCACTGATATTTTTGGGCCTTTCCAATGGCAGCCGAAAACCCGAAATGGATCAGATTTCCGTCATCAGTTTGCAGCACCCGCTTCACGCTTGGACGGATATGCGATGCGCTGCTACCACGTCGATTCACGGAAGCACGCCAAATTCCCCGAACAAGCAGGCCGCTCCGGAAATAGTCCGGTCAACTCGCAGAAGGATCTATGGTCATGCTCAGAACCTCCAGTTTCAGATGTATTGTCTTCAAACACCATCCAAACGAATACCTTGCTGACAAGCAGAGTTAGACAACCGACTTCAAGAATTCGCGCAGATCTTTGTACGTTCAGATACTATGCCGAGCAACTGCAAGCACTCTTTAATGGATCTTTCAAAAGCTAAGGAAGGAGGGGGGAATTTTCCGTCATCGGTGTACTAGAACGACAAGACATCGTTGGTGTCGACCGCCTGATTTACACTATCAGTGGTCCGGCCCCCTCTCATTAGAAACACATTTGCTCCGGGAACAAAAAGAAGACCACCTTTCGAAGAGATTAAGAGCCGGAGACCGAGGAAGTGATGACAAAGCGCCGCCCGTGGGTACAGGTGGACCCGTCTGTGGTGGAGGAAATGATTTGGAAATCCCTGCTGGGCGCTTTGCTTGTCGGTGCTGATAGTTATTTGAGCAATCTTACCGTCATTGTGGATATTATGCTTTTGACCTTAATCGATGTAGCATTATTTTGTCATTCACCTGTCTTCTTTGACTTCACACCCATTACTTATCTTCACTTCGACTGAAACTTATCAAGAATGCTTCGCTTTGCTGTTGTATGATGCCATTCTTATTGATTCCCATTATGCATTCGTGCCGGAGAATGTTTGGACTGTATTGTGTCCCGGCGACTGCTGAGGTACTTTTGAAATTTTGATATAACCTATTGTTGTTTGATAGTACAACAAATTCATCACAAATCTACCGCCGTTTTTTACAAACCATGCCTTGTTATTGCTGAACTGATCTGTGACGGCGCGTCACCCATGAAAGTTTTGGAACTATGCAGTAGAAGGCAGGAACTTGCCTGGATCTCGTTAGTTTTGGCCCTGTTGAATTGTTTTCTGCGTTCAGGCTAAAATAACTGGATTTTGATCGTTGCAGTGTCCACCGACACAATCACTCAACATGTTTTTTCGCTTGTTCGTTCAAGTGTCCAACACTTGGGTGACCTAATCTTTCAGACTTCACGTTTGGCCAGCGTTTTCTAACACCATTTTATTCACTCGTTTGTTTGCCATTTATCATGTGACAAATGTTTTGAGAATGCTTCTCGAAGAAATTCAAAAATCGTGCAAGAAAGCTTTGGCACCTACGTTCCTTCTCATGTTTTCGACCATTTCACACTTGTGCTCGTCCAACAGTTTCACGCTTATTGTTTAATGACGCCATGTTTTCTCCCCTGCAGACCGGCTGAAAAGTAATTCGTGGGGCGGAGGTTGGATATGGATGGTACTGATTGTATCGCATTCTTGTTTCTTGTAAAGTTACCTCTTTTATACCCCTCCGTGTGGCTTAGAGTACTCTGAGGAAGTGCAGAAAGGGGCTTCCTAGCTATTTACCTTCAATAAGAGAGAGGTTAGATCTAAGGGAGAAGTTTCGTTTCCTCATAGGTGTTCAAACTCACACTAGCTTCGGAGACCCACAGGTCATTTGGGTCACTTCCAATATGGAAAGGTGTTGCGTGCCCGCTTGGAAAGGTTTCTCAGAGTCGGAGGTCGCTGGTATGCAAAGGACCACGGCAAGAGCGATAAATGGTGGTGCACACGACCGACAGCAAATACTGCTAGATTTGACGCGAACAGGCGAACATCTAATCTATCTTAATATCAAGCAAATAATTTTCCGCGGCGCCTACTGGCGTCTTTAGTTTCGGAAGTTTCGTTTTGACGTGCTAGCGCCTCCACACTGGCATTTGCCATTTTAGAGGCTTGTTTGTGCTGGCCAGCACCCTAAAACGTATAGTTCTCAGTTGAAGCATCCGGGGACAGAAACGTCTTAACGTTTTCCACCTCAATAGGATTTTTACTTCAGACCAATAAATAAATCGCTACTCTGACCAACTATTTCTGCCTGGTGTCTTTTCCCACTTGTCTTTTTTCCTCATTAATTACGTGTAGGTGAAGTACTGATTGACTATTTGCTGGCATACATCAAGTTACTTAAGACAGGTTACGCTTCAGGCGATGCTAACACATCCACATTCTCATATGCTCACCTGAAAATTAAGCTAATGTGAGATTTAAAAGTCGCCCGTATTTTGTATACGATCTTAGTTAACGAACTGAGCCATCCAAGAAACTTGAACATTACTTACGGATAAGCTACCTAAAATATGTCCTGGCGGTCAATAGCATTAGTTTTGGGTTTTTTGAATGGTACTGACAGAAGTGTCATGATGAACAATATTACATGCAAACAGCTTAAAGTTTAATAGACACTCCATGAAGCATTAGGATGTACCTCATGGCACAAATATCTCAGAAGAGCAGTAGGTCTGCATAACAGCGTTTAATATTTATTGCAGCTGGGTGCATGATGGTGTGCACCAGAGCCTATTGACGAAATCAGCGATTAAACTGAAGTAATATGCCGCAGAAATAAGTCGAAGTATACAGCATATTGGGATTCATCTGTGATAATAGTAAATAAGTGATGTTATGTATGATGACAAATTCAGCGTACGACATCCTTGCTTCATAAGCTCCCCGTCATTTAGCAGTGCAGGGTTTTTTATCGAAACAAACAGCCCACATGTTGTTGTGCATCAAGTTATTTCCTCTTGGGGATGAACGGCAAGTCTTTCACATGATATGAATTTCAAAAATGAGAGTAACATGAATCAAAAGACTTGTTCATAACCCTTCTCAAATTATAATTGAGCTATCATCGATCGGTAGCACTTAATTTCCCGAAATCGATAGCCTGACGTTCCACAAAATTCAGAATGAATACAGAATCAGCAAATTACCCTGAGTGAACATGCCGGGTACTCATCGAAATCACAATTTCTTTGTACCGGTAAAGTCATTAAGAATAAGAGTTCAAGAAGGAACAGGTTAAAATCTTATAGGATAACTCACAAGAAACGCAAGGTAAAACGAAAGCATGCCAAATGGTTCGGATGCCTGACCATATCCTTTCAGACAAGTCATTCTGTTAAGGCCTGGAAGATAGGCGTCAATATTAAATCGTGCTGAGCACTTCGATGTTGGTGCTTGGTTATTGTTTGCCACTACACAAAATTTCATAGCTTCCTTGCACTGTCTCAGCTGAAGATACACATTAAGTCGTCCAAGATACTTGGCACCACGTCGTTGTGTCCTCGTTCCCTATTCACCAGTCAGCAACCTCATGCATATGGCAATCCACCAATACGGATAGAGGAGTTCCCCGTTGGCAGGAGACAAAGAGTAAGAATCAATCTTAAACTCTTTTCTTGAAAGTCAATGGCGGCTAAAACACCGCAAGACAATGCCCTGGGCCCCCTGCTACCTCTCCAACACACAAACGGCGGCCTACTATCACGAAGTCTCTCCTGGCTCTCCACATTGTTGATGTAGAAATGTGGCGAGAAATTGAAAATGACGTGCCTGCGCATGCGTGGGCTTCAGACAGACCTAGGCAGCTTGCTGACTTGCTCGGAGAAGTGAATGACGCGTATCAACGCAGGCAAATGTATAAGCACGTGCATGGGGCACGCAGATGGCAACACCCACGATATTGGTGGGACTCCTCTATCCTCGGTATCGACCCAAAATGACCCGGAAGTCACAGCGAGTTATGATTTGAAAACTATGGCACACTGTCAATCGGTCACAGACCGGAGTTCTAAGACACTCTGGACATTACACGGGATGTCTACAAAATTAAGTGGCGAGATGTTCACCATCTTATTCACGTCCTTGGCTAGGTCTAGACTGGAAAACTGTACACAGGTCACAAATCCTTGTCTAAAAAGTGATCCAAACCCTCTAGGAGGGGTTCGGGGGGAACCACTGATGCAATCCCTGCGGTGGCCGGCCTGCGAAGAACGAATTGAGGAGCTGGACCCCTTCTCTTTACCCTGTGTCAGAAACAGGGGAGATCCAATCATGCTGCACAGGATTTTCAGCAGTGAATTTGGACCCCATGTATCTTCTCTTTTCCTTCCCACTAGGTCGGGACACCTTGGAGGACAAAGTAGAAGAATGTGGAAACAAAGGACGAACGTGTTTCCCGTATAGTACTGGTTCTCACGCCGAGTAATCAACTCCTGTATCATCAACTGACTCATTCGAAAGAGGGCTGGATGTGCGCAGAGATGCACTGGAAAAAAATTATCATAGGTCCACAAATTTCTGTCCTCGAAAGACAAATCAGGGTCGGATCTGCGCCTGAACCTGAATCTGAAGCAATCTCAGTATAATGACAAGACTCATCAGATATACGGCCTGCGCCTGGTAACACAATCAGGCGCTCTCCTACGGATATTTACATGCCACAGAAAACTGAAAGTTGGCCACTTAAAGTTTGAGATTGCTTCAGGAAATTGTCTGAATATTGAAATCTTGTACTGCAACATATTACGAAATTCAAAGGAAATATCGCATTTGGCCAGATAAAAAGAAGCCACACCAGATGAATAATGAATTTTCTTAGCGACTGCCATAATAGAAATCCTTTTCTGTTTTGTGTTTATCAGGGCTGATTGGAGTTACAATAGTTACGTTTGCTGCTCAAGGTCTTTCCCCCATTTTAACGTGTTTTTATGGCAGTTGACCAGTAAGTTCTCAGGTTTGGTCTATTTCAAACTGGAAAGCGCATGTATTCTTTTGTCCAAGCTTGTATCATATACCATAGATGTAGGGTTCTCAAGTGTTGGAGTTTGTTCATATTCGAAAATCACATTCGTCCTTCAAAAAAGAATAGTTGGTAATCGGGAAACTACGCAAATTTAAGGGGAGAAAAGACAATAAACTGGGTATTTATGTGCCTTGAGCAAAAAAAGTTGGTATGGATGCATAGGTTAGACGATAACAGTGGATCGAAAGGGAAACTGCGCTGAATACGGAGAATGACCAGAACGAGAAAATAGCCGCAATCGTCGCATATGAATAGGTGGATTTGGCTGATTACACCACTCATCCCACCCTTTTTTCATTTATTTTGCCTTTATCCGCTTTATTCTCCATTGTTTTGGTTTTTGGCATATCATTTGTGAGACATAGGTAGTTGTACCTGCGATAACATGTTCAATATAAAGAGTTAAGGGAAAGGAGAAAATGCATCAGGCTCAAACCCACTGCTCAAAATTGACCAATGGGAGCAGAACCCTAAGATGTAACCCGTCTTGGCTGAAGACTTCTCAGGTATCACGTTTGTGTGCGGTCAGACGACTGTCTCCTTTGTGATTTCCGTGGGTTTCCTTCGAGAAATATTGGGAACTGTCAGTGTTCAGAATCACATTAAAAGTGTCAGTAGATAATACTAAGCTAAAATAGTTAAACAAATGATCTACCACTTTTGCTTCCTCATATGGTGGCAAAACAGGGATCTCCTCACTTCTAATCCTCCTTTTGATATGAGGGAACAGAAGTTTAGGACAGCAAGCAACCGCTCATTAACGACCTTTCGTATGCTGTGTTACGTTTGGTACATTCGTTCCTAACCTTGCGATATCCCAGCTTAAATGGTTCACTGTCTGTCGCTATGAATGCATCCAATAAGCTTTTTCTCCGTCTCAGTGACCTCTGAGTTTGTTTATCAAACCAACGTGTTCCATAAAAAAGTCTCAGGACTAGACCAAGGAATAAATGGTCATATTACACTGTTATATATATTCTTCAACCTCTACTAAACCTTCTCTATGTAACAACCTACATTTAGCGGCCAATTAGTCAATCTAGAATTATTCTTAACTGCTGAAATCTCCGCGCGGCAAACATTTGCGAGAGGAATAGTAGTGCCATAAATCAACTCTTGGGTTTTAAAACCCGAATGTGATTGCAATGGAATCACTACTAGCCAATGGAGATAGTTCTCTTAGGTCTGCAATGTCCTCACATTGGTGTGAAAACGAAGCCTAGGACTGATGGTTCATGCATTGACTCATAATGTGTAGGACACTTTACACTCTGGATAATTCCCCACTCTCTAGAGGTCAAAATTGGGTGTCTATCAAAGCGACTGCATGGCTGAATTATGATGAGCTCTTGTCAATTAACTTGAGGCACATTAAAGTCTCCTTCAGTCAAGCATTTATTGCTAGTCCCTAACTTCCAAAGTAGTTTGCACGAAGTTATCGGCAATGTACTTCGAACTGCGGTAAATTACTCGTGCTTATACTTGATTTCGCGAATAACAGTGTGATATGTGCCACTGCAATGTTCGTGAGAAGCCGTCGAGCGAACCCGCAGTTTATCATGAATATACAGGATTGCGACAATACCCTAACGAACCATTACTTAGTTCAGCCTAATAGATGCATAACCTGGCATGAGTAGAGAAATACCCACAACCACCACTATCCACGTTCTAGTAATCACTGTTAGATCCGGCTTTAAGCGATCAGCCAAATCAGCTGAGAAATTTTGTTCCTGAGAATAAAAGCATTAGTGTAGTAAACCATTAGACTGTCAGTGCAGACGTCTGACCTATGAATACTGGTCTTGAGAGCATCGGTTACCAAAACCACAGTACACAAAACGAGAAACTTCCAGCTCTTTCTCCCCTTTACCTTGCCTAGCTTTCACCTTGGCCACCGCCTCCGTCTTCTTTATCCTGTCCTCAAATGACCAATCAAGATGTATTCGTGCATTCATATATATTTAATTTTGTCCATATTTCTGAAGGAAAACATCGCGTTCTTGAGGACTTTCAAAGACAACTTTTACAATGTATCATGTATAAATAGTATTGTTCTTATTCCACGTACCTAATTTTGTCTTTTTCCACGTGCACATCTAAGGATAATTCTGCTCCAAGAAGGAGGTAGAGTCCTGTTCTAACCAAACTGTCATGTGCATATCTTTGGGATGCACTAGAGTATGACAACTCATTTACATTCCAAAAGATTACGTTACATTATGTATCTTTAATTCTAGATACAGTATCAACACCCTTCGATACTTTTTGACATCTTTGCTTATACTGCCTGCCAATGATCGGTTGTTAATTGATCCTCTACTCTTCTAAGAGACTTCCATCTACTTTGGCTGAGATGCTTTTGTGTTTCCAGAAGCTTTATCTGGGTCAAATTTGTCTAGTACAGTAAGTATACCAGGCTCCTTCCACGATTTGACCAGATTTCCAGTAGACTTATCGAACTTCACACCTTTTAGGTCTACATCTGGCCAGAAATATTTCGTGAAGCTATTTTACAATGCAATATCGCAGGTAGAAATAAAGATGCATTGTTGTTATCCTTCGGTAATATTAGTTTTCGAATGTCAAGCAAAAATGTGCCGTTTGATAGCGCATTCATATGTAAATGAAGGATAGCTATTAAAAATCAAAGACGTCAATATGATTCAGGTGTTCGATCACTGTTACCTTTGTATCATAAGCAGCATTTCATAGGACCACGACATCAGTAACGCAATAGTGAAGTGTAGAGTTTCGGTTAAGAGAAGTTGGCTGGTGAGGTTGTAAACATTCATCGGCTCACATCTAAGACATGTGTTGCGCACACCTAGCCATCATCTTCCCTTTCGTACAGCGCCAACTGAAATTAAACTACGTTGCACAAAGGTCAGAGGCAGTCAGACTAAAGCATGACATCAGTCCACGAAGTCAGTGACTGTTGGTCTGAACCATTTAGGTGAATGTAAGCTTCAAGGTTGTGGTCCACTTGAAAAGCGTAATCAGTGGTTGGTGACTCCAAGTGATATAACCCAGAATCATCTCATTGGACAAGATGCATCCATGCATAATATTCATGCCAGATTGCGTTGTTTTATCCCCTTTTCACTTCTTCGTATGACTTCATTTGCCTTGTATCTCAGTGTGCTAATATGACGTATGACATCTTTAGTTGTTATTCCGTCTCAGGTTCCAATTTGGCATTGACTCGAGTGACCAGCCAGCACATTCATATTGTAATAATGACAAACAGATCAATGTAGAATCTCACACAGAAGTGCATGGTTTTAATTCGCCACACACGCATGCAAGGCAGAGGTAGATACAAAAAAGTGATATTGGGGTTGATTAATGTGTTTAAGGAGACAATGAATAGGTGAAAGTTGACAAGAATTTCAAGACTTCGGAGATTACAAAGAGTGGGTACACCTGTGCTACTTTGATCGATTTTCATCAGTGTCAACAAAAGTCTCCAACCATTGATTTTTATCGTTTCAAAGACCCCGGCCATATATTCTATACCTTCTCGGCTCAGACCAACAGTCACAAGCTTTGTAAACAGATTTCATGTCTCGGTTTGACTATTCTTAGCCTTCTTCCAACCCAAAGCTGCTTCGGCTGGCATTGATCGTCTAGTTAGGTGGTGGGTCTGCATACAAGACGTTTGTTCGAATCACTTCAGTCATAGAAGGTTCACCACTTCATCGACTGACTTAGCTTCCTTATCTAATAACCTACACCCAACATTGCCATTGCTTCCGTTTTCGTTTCACCATACGCTAGCAATGCTACGAAGACAGCTTTGATCGAAAACCTGTATTCTTTTCTTGTCTATTTCCTGAACCCATGTCTCACAACACAGTAGTCGTATATCTCTCAAGAACCAGAAATAATGTAATTTGGCGAATCCCAGACAGCCGTTGTGCATCTGGACTGAGATTTTATCAGCAACCAACCCACTTGGTCTGGTGCAACCCCCTAAGCAAGTGAATTGGTCCTTAAACCAGAAGTTGGTGCAACCCAATCTTGAGGCGTCATCCTACACTTGAAATGTGCGCAACTCATGTCAAACATATTCGGATTCCCACCCACGGATTTCGGAAGACCATTCGTTATCTCAGCCTCTTCACCTAACAGGAATTCCTCATCTGCTTACTCCAAGCTAATCAGATATCCTCCAACAAGTCAATCTATTGTAAGATGAAAGTACTTGGGGTTATTTCTGTCTGCATATTTCTAAGTCGAGTGAAATTGGTAACAGTGGACATACTTCGTGGACAACACAGGTTGTCGTCACTTAGGATAACACTTCTCAGTAAACCTTTACATGGCTGCCTAAGTTCCTGCAGGTAGCCTTGATTAGTATTACATACTTGCTTGGTAAATCTTTTAGTCAGACACTACCACAACACCTCTTGGTCTCCCGGATTAAATACCGCGACCAGGTCCAGAAATATGGCAGGTCTCAGCTGCTGGTAGGTATACCTGTGTTGTAAAACCTGTAGAAGGGTGAAAATTTGATCGATACACCCTCTCCTAGATCTGAAACCTACCTGGTTTTCGTGAGTACTTTTTCCTTATGCATCGGATAACTGTGGACCTCAGAATCTTGGACAGGATGTTTGTTAAACTGATCTCCTAATGGTTATCACGCGAAGATCCCTCTCCTTTCTTATAAACTGGAATGATTTCTGAAGTAGATCTGTTCGACGGGACTACCTGTGATTCTCATACGCTAAGTAGTACCTCCTTTACTCAGTAGTTTCCTACCTCCCTCCCTAAGAACTTCTTGTGACAAACCATGGTGCTCTGCATCGTTTTAGGTTTGGAACAGCCTTCTCAACTTTGAGGTGGTGTACATGACCAACACCTACATCCTGTTCAGCTTCCAGCTAGGTGGTTCACAATGGAGGCGTTGTCTTAAGCCAGTTGGACTGTGCTTCAGTGTGTTCTGACCAACATTCTAGGCGTCTGTTCTAAAAGGTTATCAGCGTTCTATCCTTTTTGGTGAGGATTTCACTAGCCATCGTCTTGCAGGTATCCTTAACAAACCCTAGTAGTTGCAGGGTATCATCTAGCGCTAATACCTTCTTCATCCCTCTTGCTCTCACCTCCCACCACTACTCACTATCGTTTCGAGGGCTCTTAGTTTATTTACGCTTCAGTTGCTTTTGCTTCTCATTGGGGTCAGACCCGGTTGGGATAACTTCACATATCAACCAGTACGAATGACTTCACAAAAATCAACTAGCTTTTGCTAAGCTTTAAATACAAGTTACGTACTGTCTTTACCGCTATGTCCTGAAAGAATTTGAGTGTCGAGTCTGATTTAATCTTTCCATAAATGGGTTATAATATAATCCCAGAATGTTTGAAAAAAGCAGTGGTATATGCAGCGAAACGTTCAGAAAAATTTTGTTTTGATTTTCTAAGCACACTGGGATTATATTAAAACTTACTTATCTGGCGTCTTCATTGCTTCTTCTACAGCAAACTGAATTTTACAACACTTTTCATCGGAAAGTTGTTTGCTCAGATAAATGCTTAGCTATTTAATCTCTAGATGCACTTGACTTTCTAATATTCTTGTTGAGCACGCAGAAATTTAACTGATTTCTTTTCCGCATCCTTCAGGGTTGGATGTATAGGCATCCGTACTAATGCTTGATTGTAGTCTAAGCACGCTCTAGAAAAATAACAGCAATCCTATACCAATCCTCTCTAACGACAGCTTATAGAAATATGACCTATGTGTCCATATTTGGTTTGGTTTTGACGAACGCCAAGTGAAATTCTCTTTTTATGCTTTAACTCTTTGTTGAGCAGAAACAAAAGATTGTGAGAAAAAGATGATCATCGTTTTTGACTCACCACAATCCAATACCACAGATACTCCGAAAATACCTTTCCAATTAACTCAACCTTCCTACTTCAGCGTTGAATTCGATCATTATTATAAATGTTTTTGCCTTATGTAACGGAATTGACGTCTTTCCGTTATAGACGTACTAATGCACATAACTTTAGGTACATCTGACTTCATAGGGACTGATCAACATCATGGAGGTCATCTGGTCGAATTGGAGTAAGCAGACGATATTTTCCTGCTAGGTGAAGACGCTGACAAAATGCTGGGTCTTGTGAACGCCTTGAGGGGAAATCTGAGTATGTGGCATGTGTATTGCATCTGTAAAATGTAAGATGATGCTTAATAATCGGTCTGAAACCACTACCAATTTAATGATAGGGAGTGAAGTGGTGAAATGTGTTGACCACTTCATTTACCTGGACGGTTGCATCAGTGAAAACGACGGGATTTCTGACAAAACCTCAGCTCAGCTACAGAAACCCCGTTTGGTATTAATCGAATTGCGTCATCTCTGGTGCAGATTGGCGAGATTTCCGGCTATCTATCAAAGGACGAGTATACTGAGCTGCAGTTCTTTCTGTCTCCTTGTACGGCTGTGAGACGGCTGTCTAAAGTGGAAGACATGAAGCGGTTATAGGTTCTTGATCACAGATATCTTCATAGCGTAGCTAGCGTTTGATGGGATCACCGTATGAACTATGTTTAATTCAGGTGCCAGGGTACTAGGAAAGACAAGCAAGTCGGTCGATGAGTTTGTGAACCTTCATTGACTGAGATGGCTTGGACATCTTCTAAATCTTGGATATTTGCACCACCTGTTATCTTTAAATTGTTTATTCTCTAACACAACTTAGTTTACTTTGATGTCGCTGCTTTTTCTATCCACATGTTTTTTGATACTACTGTGAAGTGTGGCAACTTGAGCCGATAGACCTGTATGACGTTCTACATTGATTTTGTCAGTCAGTCGGTACAACTGTCAGTGAGATTTTACTTTCATACCCCTATCATACGGTATCTCTTTGCATCATGACAGTAGCTGCTTTTTGTCAAACCACTATCATACAGACTTTTCTGGCATGGTAGAGCCTCAATGAACAAGTGTAACTCATTGAGCCATCGTGATATGCAAGCTCTACGATCATATCAAGTAGTAGCTATAGCTTGGGTGATAATAATTGTTTTATTCAAGTTGTCAAATACCAAACGAACCTTCTGTATCCGAGTTGAGATTTCGTCAGTCGTTTAAAAAGACAACTACGAACCACTGGGTCACAGTTTCTAGCTCCTGTCCCCCTACCGAAGTTTTAGGAGTTAGGTAGTTCCACAACCCCTTACACAACAGGCGTTGCTTATGGTCTGCCATGCGAGTGTGCACAAGGTAACTGAGTGCATTTGGTTTCGACGCCAACTCCTTAAGTAAGTAAAACGGTCGACACATTCCACCACTTCACTTCCTATCATTAACCAGGGAGTGGTTGCAGACTAGTTGTGTAGCACCACCTTACACTTGACGGATGTGAGATGCACGCCAAACACTCAGACTTCTTCTCAGGGCGTTCACAAGACCCAACATTTTGTCAGAGTCTTCACCCAGCAGGACAATATTGTCTGCACACTCCAAATCAATCCGATAACCTTCAAAGAGTAAATCAATCCCTGTTGAGTGATCAAGAATCGAAACTAGCTATTGATTTACTTTCTGCACTTGACAGCTATGCAGGGTAATGCTTGGGTGTGTATTTGAAAAGTTCATGCTTCTTACAATCAGTATAACTTGCTTCACAGGCACAAGTGAACTTATTAACATGCATTAAGATGTCCTAAAACACCAGCTTGTCCTTAGCCCATTCAGGAATTGTTTGCTATCTGGAGAAAATAGTCTGTAGTTTAGCAGCAAAGAATGTAAAGTCTGATTCCTTACAATTTCAACTGTACTTTTTCGCTCCCTCAAATCATCATTCATAAATATAGTCTTCCTCAAGACTGTACAGCTCTGCCCCACATATTGCTTGAATTTCAAGTTCTTCTCAATAAGCTTAAATGGCTATTCATTTTGTGTAAGGATCTGTCGACATCTATTCACTTCATCACAAACTATTCAATCTACAGTGATTCTTGATGATAATGAATAAATTAGATTTCGCTTTTACTCAACAAGGTCCTGCTATGAAAACTTGTGTACTCCTCAGTACCTGTCAGCTTTCTGTAGGTTGATCTTTGAAGCGAACTGTCTGGCTTTTTTTTCAGTGGAGCATCCAGGAAATGGGGATTCAGGTTATTTTTTGATTCTATGGTAGGTTTAATCGACTGATGATAATCACTAAACTTCTTAACTATGGCCTCAATCTCAATATTCTACTCACACATGATGAATGTATCATCCCCATATCTTCTATCTAAATGAAAAGTATCAATCATTGAATTAATAACAGTCTTCTAAATGTTTTCCATAAATCAATCAGCCATTAGAGGGCTGAGTAGTGACCCTATTGTCACGTCATCCGTTTGTCTATACAATTCCTCGTTAAATTTAAACCGGACATTGAAAGTACATCTCAGAAGCAGTTCTTTTAAATAGTTTCTAGGCTTACTGATATCAAAATTATTGTCTTCGATAAAATCACGTAGAAAACATACTGCTTTCGTAAGTAGGGCACTTAAGTTTTCAAATAAATGCTGTATTTTTTTTCGTATTTCAGTTAGGTAAGGACGAGTTGAGAAAAACTCGGAGTTTTTCATCATTCGAGGTAAATGTTTTATTGTCTTCATCGAGTTGTCAACTAACTTACAAACTGTATAAATATCATTACTTCATTAAACTCCCCTGAAAATATGTGAAATATGATGCAAAATATTAGTGAGTGACATTATAAGTGTCGGTTCAATAAACTATATTTCGATAAAATCATCACTGTTTTCACTATCAATTTTGATGGACTTACCAACCCTGCTATCGTTGCTTGCGATTTTAATTTTGAATGATGTTAACATTAGGTAGTAAATGATATTAAAGTATTTAAGTGGATTTTTTCTCCGTCTTACTGTTTGTTATATTAAATAAATTATTTTTCGACTATCTTCACGTATCTTCTATACTTATTGGTAAAATTAGAGAATTCGTCGAACAGACAGACTAGTTACCATATGTTCTGATAAAAAATCATTAGATGAGATGATGTAAGCATAACTTTATAAAACCTTAGATACTTTTATAGGGTCTATTTTCTGACAGTTTGAGTGCCTAAAAGTTACCCATAATTACATTTTTGACGTGATGACCAGGTTTCCTCGCCTCAATGATGCGACAAGCTATGTTACCTGGAACCATTGCTTCTTACAGTCCCACCATGTAAAAAGTTTGTTTGATAGTATAGCTAAAATAACTTGTGCTGTGGTTAGGGTTGTACCCCCATCTGTACAGGACGTTACAGTAGTAAGTGTTTCCATGTGAACAACCAATATTCCATACTAATGTCATCCCCTTTGAAGGATGGGTAAGGAAAGGTTGGCCCTAAAAAGATCACAACAGTCTGCTCCATAGGCTTCCAGTTCCAGCAAGATTGGTTTTCTCGCTTTGAGTGAAAACCTAATATTTAGGTATGTTACATAACTCTAAAAGTGCTCTAGTTGAAAATAATTTTCAGCACCGAACAAATGCATTCTATAGTGCAATATTTATAGAGTTTCTGTTTTCTCACCACTCAGTATTGATTGGTTGAACAAACACTGATAATTATAAACCAAGATGTGGGATGCTTGTTCTGATATGCTGCATATTTATCATCAATGTAAATCCTGCATTGAAGTATACTGAATAATTTTCCGACTAATTGGCATTTAAGTCGGTACCGCATTACTACTGTAGTAGGAGTTGGTGATCAGAATGGATATAAGTAATATATGTTAAGAGGGGAGCAGAAATTACAAAGAATTACCAGCAATGGGTAAATATTCCGCCCAGAGAAACTCAAGAGACAATATGACCGTACTAAGACCAAGTCAAAATAGAAACAGAAGAGGAAATGAAGCACATTATGCAAATGGCTGTCTTAATGGAAGGTGTACAATATTTGATGACTACTGTACAAGATGTCAATAATAAACATTACTCCCTTCGTCTCCGTCTTTTCGTTTTCTACCCTACTACAGTAGTAGTTATCAAGAGTCTCTAATGAAGGCAAATGTGAAGAATGTTTTAAGTCTAATGTTCACCAACTTATAATTTTTAATCGTATGTTGATTTCATTTCAGAGTTATGGGAAAACCACCAAAACCTCGTCTTTCTCAATCACCATCACCAACTTCTTATCGAGGTGATCGACAGCACCAGGTAATTGATAAAACCAATGCTTTTATGAGAATATTAATTAGCTAAGTGAATCCTATTTATAGGAGAGTCCCACTCTGTGTTGTTTCTAGGGCATCTGTAATTATTTACTTTAGATCAATTCTATGGTAGTACTCATCTCTACAGAAAACTGTGTTAATTGAGCATTTGAAAATGACATAGTAAATAAATTTAAAAAATGTACTCAGGAAACTTGTGTACATTCGTGCAGTAAACAATGAGCCACGTCTAGTGTGTGAGGGCCAGTGATACTACCTGGCTGCCCTAACCTTACTAGGTAGAACGGGCCATAACCCATTGGTTGAAAGTCATCTCCTTAAACCACTGAACCACAGCTCTACATCTGAGAATAAAACTTACTATTTCCTCTGCATTGCATACTTTAGGTAAGGTGGGATACAGAGCAAAGTCATAATCCAGCATTGAATGCCCGCTGATGTGTATGTATGCAATGCCGCTATTCAATTATATATGATGCCATATATTCATCTTATGTGATATTTTAAAAACTTCCCATTTATAGTCAAGTCTTGCTGCAAGAACGAGTGTAGAAGAATAACATGAGGGTATTTGTATTATTTCAAAGATTCTTTTCAACTAATTACAACCTTAACAATATCAAAATGTACACATTACAAGAAACGTCGAATATACTTTGCTCAATTTGTTAAGAGGCTAGTGACATCACCAACCAGTAAAATAAATAATAAATACTTCAAATAGTTATAGAAGGAGTGATCGTTGATAATGGGAGGGGACATGGATAGTGACTGGTAGTAGTTTTTGACATTGGATTGCTTAAAATGATAAAATACCTATTGCATGAATAGTTATTCAAAAAGCGTAAAAGCAAATAAGATTTGATATTTCGCAAGAGGTAAAAGAAATGAAACGATTAGGTGGTTTGGTAAGTTTTACTCAATGAAAGGAGAAGACACTGAACTAGCCTCTTCAGTATGCAAAGCTGCAAGTTTTTTACTTGAGTAGCTAAAGCCTTAGCAATACAAAGGTGGTGAACATATACCATCTTTGGCGAGTTTTCTTTCACCCCGTAGATAACCAAATGATGATCGTCCCGAACCCTGCGGTTGTCTCATTAGGGTCTTCAAGGTGAAAGGAATTAATGGTTGGAAGCTCCTGGTGATATAGCTGAAAATTGGTCACAGCGGTACAGATGGATATACCTTGTATTTCGAAAATTTTGAAAATTTTCATTTACCTTAACTTATTCCCTCCACTCATAAACTTTTGTCTACTTAAGTGCCGTTCTTTTCCTATCCACTTTTGCTTTGCTGACTCCTGGGAAGTATAGTAAATTGAACTCATTCACTTTTGTACTAGCTTCTAAATTGTTTTGTCTGTCTGTCCTTAACCCGCGACTGTGCATAACAAGCTACAACGTGAATACATATCTGAAAAAAGAATAATTGGTTAGAAAAATTATTTCGCGAAACAACTAAATAAAATGTTTGGTTGAATGCACGTTGTATGGTGCTGAATAAACCCGAATGAAGTTAATTTCTTGTCTTAGCATCAATACAATGAAATTAACTGAAAGCCTTTTCCGAATAAGTTTCAACATGAACTATTTTGATTTCCGACGACTTTGCTCCATTTTTCCTAGAAAGATGTGGTAACCTTTCGATAAAGAAGTGAATGTGTGCCAAAGAGTGGAAATCTTACTATCCTACATCCTTGTTACAGATAGGTTCTCACTGAAATTTTGTATAGGCTTAACAATTTATCCAACGGTCGCCGGATAAATCCAGAATTTCTGTTTTCAGTAAATATGCAGCACATAATCACAGTAGGGAAACAACAAAATAACATAGTTGACACTGCTCATAGCCTGATGCAAAAGTCTCTATTTGGTTTCTGACTCACCTTAACTCATCATCGATATCCAGAGATAATATCACTGTGGGCGTACGCACTGTCTCAAATATTCAATTGTAAGAATTTTAGAATAGTGATACTTTGAATGTTGGACTTCAATGCATGAAGTTTCGGTCAACAGAAAATTTCAGGTTGGGAATATATGTATCTAGGTCGTCTCCTGCTCAGTCTGCGAACCCTCACTACAACCAGGTGCCGCAAACCCTAAATGCGTTCTTCATTCAATTCTGAACTAATTGATACTGCTACTGATATGAATTATTCAGTAGTTCATATTTTTTCTTAAAAAATGCATAAGTATTGATCACAATGTCATTTCAAAACGAGTAAACAATTTTTCCACTGTGTCGTAAGATACAAAGTGCTTGATGCATAATTTCGAATAAACAAACAGCAACTCTACGCTGTCAGTGCCTAAATTAGCTATATATATATATATAAGTTGATTTGAGTAGTACATGCCTTATGTATTCACTTACTAGATAAATCTTCTAACTACTGAATTCGACAAAATTAAACACGGACAATGTGTTGCGAAGACATCTAATGATAATTTTGTGAGTACCAACCGTTATGAACATCTGGAAAGTATAGAATTTTCACCTCCAGTTATTGAAGGTGACAATGAAGGTGCTGAAAAGTCATTTGAAACAACTAGTCGGAAGTCTACTTGGAATGATGGTGAGCAAAATGAAGATGAAACAGCATATATCTTCAATGAAACACCAATTGACAAAAGACAAATAACAAAGTAAGTTAATGGTTAATTTCTCTGTATCTAAGTTTGAAGGTTTGTGGGGATTGGTTGATTTCAAGGTGGTATTCTTGAAGGGCTTACATCAGTTGGAGAATAACCAAAAACCTCGAAGCACTAGAAAGCTGTTTCGTCGTGGGATGAGACTCCTGAGCAGTGTTTTTCGGTAGCGCATAAGTCTGTCTCAACCTCTGAACTTAGGTCTGATAGTTGTCGAGGGAGAAATTCGGTATCTAAAAAAATATGCTCTTTCATATTTTGACTGCGATCGACGATCATTTCAGTTGTGGTCGATGGAATTTTGTCGGCAGTAAGGTTCGTTTTTGATAATCATTACTCAGCAGCAACTTCTGTGACTGCTGTAGTTCGACTGAAATATAAACTGCATATGCCTTAAAAGTCCCCAAAAGGCTGTAAAAGCACTTTCCTAACGTTGTGTAATTAAACATAAAAGTTGCCAGAAAGTTACATCTAAAAATAGTTTCATTTCATTTCGAATCGTTCAATCTCAAACTGTTTACAACATGTTCAGAAAAACCAGTCCAGCTTCAGCTTTATGTCCTTCCTATACATAGTCACTTTGGCAAGTACATATGGATTCATAAAGACAGGAGTGACCAAGAGTGGAATGACAGTTGGACATGTTATTTCTGAATCCATAATTCAGGTTTGATCAACTTTATGGTAACAGCCTCAGCTACGTTAAACAGACAATGACGAAGTACACGTGGTATTGGTTTTAGAATACGATGAATGACAATGAAAGCCTTATTAGCATCTATGTGATGCTGTGTGTCTACTAAGTTCGCTAGGACGGAACCCTTTACCACTTTCACAATGCCTTTTCCAGATCAAGCCGGTAAATACTCTCGTATCTGGAGAGGCGCCTGCCTAATCGCACGTCCCATGTAACTTGTTCCATAGAAACCGTTGAATTGATATCTGCAAGATGTAGAGCTAAGATTAATTAGACTATCCATTAGTCTCGGATTGTGTGTTGACCGACTACTGAATGATACACCAAGCCGACCTGCATAGAACGTCTTCTTGATTTGCTTACAGTCCCTAAATCTCACTCCATTTTGAAAATATATCTGCCCCTAAAGTTGGTTTAATTTCAAGCTATACAAATGTATTTTCTAGTCGTAGAACTGGGTGAAAATCTATTGAAAAGAAATATTCTTCCTTCAGATTGTTGCTTTTTCAGTAAATTGACTTGTTTGCTTGTATTCTACAGAAGACTATGTGATTTGAGCTGGGTAGTACTGCTTCATAACAACTTCTCAATGAGGCTAAATTATAAAGAAATGCAGTGATTTGAGTGGAAATGAATGGGAACACCATAACCTGTTAAAAGGATTCTGAAGGACATCTGAAATGATTGAAAAGTTTATCTGTGTACTATAATCCTTTGCCTAACTGTATTCATTCATTCTGAATAGTATCTTCTCCTATCTGTTTGTTATAGTCGTATCATAAATGGCATCCATGTCAGAAGGTTGCGCCTTAGGTTACATGTTCAAAGTTCTCGGTTTCTTTACGAAGGTAGCGGGAGATTTGATGTACATTATCAGTTTAATTTGACTGCCAGCATCCGGCATGTTGCCATGTAAGCTTTATGTGGCGCGACTAACAATAGTAGTCATTATTCCGTGCAAATATATATATATATATATATATATATATATATATATATATATAAATTATTCCAATAAATGAGGAGATTAATTAGAATTACACTCAAAATTACTAGGTCAACAGACGCCACACTGAATTTGAACGGCAATATAGCGGATACAGGTAGTGGTTTAGTTCGGATGTAGTTTCTGTGGGAATGTGAAGTAGACTTCAGAGAATAAACGTGAGACCAACAACCACAGAGGACGAGGAAAACTAATCACAATTTAACGAAATGAATAAAGATGGAAAAGTATATCTTTGGATTGTTTCTCGATAACCAAAAGTTTACAAGCCTATTAAAGGACCTGAGTTTCTTTGTTAAGCAATACAGTCACTGTACTGATGAAGAGTTCTTTAATCACTTCTGTCTCCCTTCAGTGCACAGTAGTATATCAACTGAATAGAGCGGACTTCGAAGTCCTATTTCTGATCAGAAAATTTCTTTACTAAACCATTATAAATTACACTACTCACCAGTAAGTAGTATTGTAACACTCGTAATATGAGTAAAAGAATTTCAATTATTTACTATTCACATAACCAAACGATGAGTTCAACTGTGGGGGAGGGGGGGGGTATTCTTTCTCTCTAAATCTGCAGCAAATTACGTGTAAAATTTTCATTAAACTGATTATTGGTCATATTTAAAATAAAATGACGCAGCATGTATCTGTCAGTATTCATCCATCACTATTTTTTTTATAATCACATTTTTATTTACATGTTTCTAAAAAATTCCAACATGGTACTTGGTACGCAGTTGTGTGTGAGTATGAGTTATTAGAATTTTAGTAATAAAATACACGATTAAAAAAAATGATAGCTTGATGTGAAAGGAGATATGAATTTGATTAAAATTGCAAGTCCGACTATCTAACGAGAATATTATTGGAAATATTTTGCTTAGTTTTCATGCTTTATTTATCTTGGTAACTAGCAGTGGGAACCAGAATGCTCGTTTCGTCGTTCTGGAGACTTGTTAGCTAGATGTACCTGCACCCTAGTTAGTAATGTTGCTCCCATTGATACTCGAACTAAGTACCCTTCACTTCAAACGCCAAAACGTTATCCACTGGGGCTAAAGAGCCACCTCTTTTGCAACAGGTATCAGTTGTTGTTTGGTACTTGTAGTTTCTTGTTGAAATGCTCGGCCGAATCTCTCTACGTCTGTAAATCCCTTCCAGCAGAAGTCAAGTAATTCAACCTTGTGTTGCAACGGGAAATCACAAGTATTTTCATGCTTCTTGTAGTTTACTCACAATTCCAAGTAATTTTTTCTTTTGATGTGAGTAAAAACAGATCCTTTTAGCATCACAATTAGTATTACTGATGATCTGCTTAGGTAACCAGCGATTCTTTTTCTTAATCTTGTATATAAATGGATTGGTTCGTAGATTGTAATCTAATTACTACCTCAGTGCTCATTTTTGATTCATACCTACTGACAGCAAAGCTGTATAAGAGGTTACTTTGGTATGCGATATTCAATGTTAAAGCGTGATGTTTTCTGTGACTACAGACAAATTCTGATATCAGACTTTAAAAATAATACAACTTAGGCGCTTGATATTGTTTAAATTATTGACAAACACCTAACGTTACACTGTCCTATTTTTTATGTCACTCAATCAATCATATTTTCCAATTGGTAGAGTCTGGCCAACACTGGAGGCAGGAGGTTAACATTATATATCAGTTGGTGAGTATTCTGAAGGTAATTGTGGATATTAAGATCGATTAGGTATCGTATATCACCCGGTATCTATCCATTGATTCATGCCTTTTTGCAACTATTTACTGTCGGATTGCACTCTCCGATATACTTCTCACTTCAATAAGCGTGAGTTTTGGTTTAGAAAACTACTGTTTAAAATGCTACCTATCAGTGTGTATGTCATATATAGCTAACTTTCTTAGCTTAGAAATAACTGTCTACAAATATATGCGTAAACTCTACTTACTAATTTTTGTTAACTTCCTGTCGTCAAGAAACTTTTGAAAAACCATACCTGTTGTAGGAGTTTATTGCATTAAAGTGCTTCAAAGTCAAGCATGATTAACCTCAAATCGGAGGTATCTCTTCAGCCAACCGCAATTCCCTCTACTACTAAGTCATAAAAGTGTAATATCACAGTGAAAACGTTTTCTCTTCAATATTGCTATCTTCTTAAGTTCGACAATTACATTTATATCCAACATAAGTTATATTGTTACTTGTTGGTCCTGAGTTCCAGTCCTAGGGTGAATAACATCACCCACTGGGAGGCAGGTACACCCATCTAATGAGTCCTAAATAAGACAAAACGCGCGTCTCGTACTCTACTGCTAGCCAATGTCCATCATTACTGTGAATTGATTTACACTGATCGGATATTTTCAGTGCGTTTAATAAGTATATTACGTAACTAGGAAAGCCATTATCATGAGTGAAAAAGAGAATAAAAACTAAAAGGGTAATAAGTACGAAAATAAACTAATTAATCTATAATCTCACAAAATGTTACTATTGTGGTCATGGTGAACCTAACGTGTTCAAACAATTCTTTTGTATATGACATTATCAGCTCTAAGATGATGAATAATTAAAGATTGTAAGTCTGTCTATCTGAGGTAGCGGTGGTTTGACAGACTTGTATTGATACCGGGTGATGATTGAAGGTGAAATGAAAATCTGAACCGCAACCACCCGCCCTTTACTGTACCAACTGAACTACGAGATCCATCTGCTGACCAGAGTTGTTAGTGCTCGTATCACTCGAACGAAGTCAGTTGGGTTGGTATTAGGAAACAATGAATGAATAGAAACGTGTTAACGTTTGACACGGTTCCTTATCACATATCTGTCTCCAATACTAGAATCTCATCTTTCTGATTGATAGCACAAATTTAATTTTTAAATAGTTCGAGTGACTTTAAAGATCACTTTAGCAATTACTTAGATAACCAATTACGTTCCTCTCTTTTTTATGAAAAACTACCTTCTCAGACGAAATATCGAAACCTGATTGGTTATTTCACCAGCTGCTAGGGTGGCCTTTAAAGTGACTTAATGTTTCTTTTATTATGCACTTTGCATTTATTCATAGAATTCCTTTGATATTTCTCTGTATCACAACCACAAAACGTGAATTTTGTTCACATCTGTAGTGATATGAAATTATATTAGGAATTCGATTTTAACTTTGTTAAATTTACTTGTCATTCTATTTTCAACATGAAATGTGATTGTGTTGTGTGCAAGCGAAGCAAAAATGACAATCAAGTTTTTACGAGTTATTTGACTACATACCCTTGAATAATATTTATATTTTCAATTTTATTGTATGACTTGAAGATAAAATGAATAACAACTTGAGTAGATGAGTGTGTTTTAGTTATCGTTTCACGTGATAACTGCCTTTTTGGTATTATTAGTTTTATCATAGAACAATCACCTGATGAACAATTCTAAAACTAAGCTTAAAATAACTTCGTAATACTATTGAAAAATGAAGTAAATCTAGTTATTTTGCCGGTGTATGGGGATATTATCTGATTATATTAGAGATTTGTAATTTTGTTCTGACTAGATCACAATGAAAACATTTGGTTTCCGATACGAATTCAAAAACAAGCAGCAAACGTTAGTAAAGCAAGATTTATTGAATTCATAAATTTCAGTAGGACTCATTATCTTTTTACTCTACATACTTGATTTTTGTATAGTGTTATGCAATAGAGGAATAGATACACACAATTCAGCCCATTGGGACCACTTTTGCCGAATTATTTCTCTCAAGTCTATAGACTAGTAGCCTTAAGAGATTGATAGAACAGATGGAACTGTACCACCGAAACATGGATGATATTCTTATTGTATGTCAAATTAAAGTGAAAGTGGAGACCCTGCTGAAGAACTTTAACTCATATCACGTGAACCTTAACTTCACAGTTGAACGCGAATAAAATGATCATATCAGCTTCGTAGACATTCCTTTGGTAAAAGAGAATCATGGATCTACAAAAAGATCCATCTATAAAAAGCTTTCATGGTCTGTACAATATCTCAAGAGTTTTGTTCGGGTCCAGTATAAAAGGAACCTAATCAAAACTCTATTCGATAGAGCAAGTAAAATTTGCTCTGCTAGTACCATTGATTACGAAATAAAAATATTGGATCATATCCTAACTAAAAATGACTTCCCCGAAGGCTTCGTCAATAAGTACTCGAAAAGTGGAGAATGCAAAACATCAGTCCTCATAGCTCCAAGTAAGTCAGTATTTATTAACTTGCCTTTTAAAGGAGACGATGTCTTAGGATTAGTTAAGAGAAGGCTAGGCAGGATCATTAAAAGGACTTACTACGCAGCTAAGCTAGTACTTCTGTGCACCATTGTGTGGGTGCTGCAGCAATCAGGAAAAGACATGACTCCAATCGTTGACACAACAAACTGTATGTACCAATTCGAATGTACTTGTTGAAGTAAATACATAGGTCGTACGGAAAGGTGTCTGTCTATCCGCATAATTAGGCATTTATCTGAATTTCTGAGACAAACTGAATGAAAAATCCCACCGAGTCCTTTTATGAAGCACTTAATGGATGACTAACATAACATTGACGCTACTAAAACCTCATTTGTTAGCAGACAGAGTAATCAAAAAAAAAATGCTTGCAATCGTGGAAGCATGTGCGACTAGAATTTGTATACCGAGCCTATGTGCACAGAAAGATATGGTAGTCATCCTGGATCTACCATCGTAGAGGTGTCGAAGTATTTTGAAATTATTTTTATTAGTGTCTTGTTGTTTCATTTTATTTCTTTCTCTGCTTATCGTATTTTTCTCTTCAATATCCTTATTCTGCCGTGCTATCATTTCCCCTTGAACTTCTTCGCTTAATAGTCAAATAATTTATCTTCATCACCATTATCATTGCTATCAACCAACTAATGCTCTAACTTTCTCTAGTTTTACACTGTTACCAAGCTTCTTAATTGATTTTCATTTACCCTGTTCAAAATATAATTTTTTATCTTTTCAACATCTATATTTTCATTGTTAACCTTATCATCATCATTATCACTCACTCGTATAATCATTATAATAATAATAATTATTGTTATTATAATGAATATTTTTGCTTACCTAATGTGCACTTTTATTAAACTATCTAGTTGATGAATAATAGTTCTGTATACTGGGTGATGATTGAAGGTGAAATTAAAATTTGGACCGCGACCGGATTCGAACTAGAGACCACCAGGCTTCCGGCCCGGTGCTCTACCAACTGAGCTATGAAGCCCGACTGGTGACCAGGTTTTTATTTCACTTCAATCACCAAGGGTTTTATCCGACTACCATGTGAACTCCTGATGCGTTACTACCACTTGGTCGTACTCACACTGGTTACCCAGTCAGGACTTCTCAAACCAATCCAAATTTGTTTACGATTAAGCGGTATTAACACGTCAAGAATCCATATAGTAAAGCCCTTGGTGGTTGAAGTGAAATAAAAATCTGGTCAGCAGTTGAGCGTCGGAGCTCAGTTGGTAGAGCACCGGAGTGGAAACCTGGTGGTCGCTGGTTGGAATCCGGCCGCAGTCCAGATTTTCATTTCACCTTCAATCATCACCCAGTATAAATACTAATCTCAGATGTTCAAAACAATAATAATTGTTCTGTTTCAAATGATATAACCCATCCCTTTTTATTGTTCACCATCCCTTTGGTACCCCCTCCAACCTATTCTTGGTTCTATTTGACCTAACTAAATTATTCACTCCATGGTGCCTTACGTCATTCAGTATCTCAGTCCATATTGTGTGCATGTATCTCTCCATTGCATAACAGTATGTAGAATCATGTATATAGAGTATAAAGCTGACGAGTCCCACTGAAATATATGAATTCAATAAATCTTGCTTTAATTACGTTTGTCGCTTGTTTTACATTACAATGGTTAAATACGTTTGTTATTTAAAGTGTTGTCTTACTTACTACTGTATGCAGCCTGTATATGATTGAGTGATTTGTATCAACGTTTTACTTCATAACTTCTGTAGTTAAGTAATTAGCTTGTATTCATTTTCTACAGATGGATTGATCAAGTTTTTACACCCACTGAAAATTTCAACACTTCATCACACCATTCTACCAGATTGAACTTCAACCAGAAGTTAGACGCAGGTTTTCCACTTTATTTATTAAAATCATATCATTCAAATTCATTCTTCAGTTAACCCACAAACTTTAAATCCAGAAGATGATATTTTAGCACAATGGCGTTTACGTCGTCGAATGGAACAAGCGAGATTGGAAATTTCAAATAGTCCAATTCATAATACAACTAGATGTTTTCAGTCAACAGCAACACCATTTTTAAATACAAATCTGCGCTCACAACATTTTCAGTTCTCTAATCAAGTGAGATAAAACGATTCATGTGAATTTTCGATAAATGGAATATACTGACGAATTAAAACTTTTTATTGTAACTAGGCTTAACTGTTAGTTTCAAACCACTCTCAGTTTTTAGTGTCATCAAGAGTAAAACTCTTTAAGATCATGTACTGCATGCACCTAGCCGCAATCTCACTTCATTAGTCTTAGTTTTGCTTAGGATAGTGTTTACTGTAGACGACTCAATAAAAATGTCTGCCGTTGGTAAAAAACATGTCAATGGATTTCTTTGATGTACAAAAGCACAAAACTAAAACTCATCTCAACAACCTCATACATGTTTGTGTATTTGGCTGTGAGCTGCACCTAGTATGTAACGACTATGAGACGTGGCCGTTAAAAGTAGAAGACATGAAGCGATGGTCCGTTCGGCATTCGCCAACTTGCGTCCCCGGTGGTGCTGGCGAGATATCCAACTATCTATCAAGGGACGAATAAACGGTGCTGCAGTCCTCTTAAACTACTGTCAGATGTAGATGTCTAAAGTAGAAGACATAAAGCGATAACAGGGTTTTGATCACAGAGTCTCCGTAGCATTGCTCACGTTTGATTGAATCACTGTGTGTGCAATGTTGAAGTCAGGCACAGAGCACTAGGCGAGACAAGCAAGTCGATTGATGAGGTTGTGAGCCTTCATTGACTGAGATGGTTTGGACATACGCTGCACATGCCGAGCCACTCCCCACCTCTACTTACAATGTTGGGTGAGGTTGGATTAGGTTCGAGGGAGGTTCCTTATGACGAGATTATGACCTAAGGTCAGTCGATGAAGTCCCTGACTGTTGGTCTGAGCCGTATAGGTAGCTGCAGACTACCTGATTGAAGTTCCCTAAGTGGAAAGAATTAGTGGTTGATGACTTGGTGATATGGCTGGAAATCGGTCCAGTGGCGTAGATATATTCACTGCTTGATATCTAAAGGTTGGAAACTTTCACTAACCTTTATCTTCGGATTTTTTATTCTCTTGCACAACTTAGTCTACTTTGACACTGCCCTTTTTCAACCCACCTATTCTTTATGTACTACTATGAAGGATGACAACTTGAGCTGATGCACCTGTGTGCGAAGTTCTACGTTGATTTTGTCAGTCAGTTAAATTTAGAGACATTATGATAGCATAAAATCTAAATTTTGCTTGTTAACTTTATCACACTGTGAAACAGAACTATTCACTAGAGTATTTCAATGTGACAGTAACTCCACAATCTTTATTTTTGCGCAAAGCAGAAGTTAACTTATCAATTCTACTACACATTTTCTTTGTAGAATTACTTGAATTACCAGTTTGACTAGTCAAATAATACAATTAGCTTAGCGCACAAATTAGTAAGTAGTTTCTGAATTAGTTATTCTGATAAAAATTCAATTCCCAGTTGTAACCAACACATTTTATCATAATAATAAATTGTACATATTCAATAAAATGAAGATGTTGAATAAACAGGTATTTGGATGAATAGTTGCGAAGTAAAGGAATCTCTTCTTACTTTGATTGTGTCCTCATCGTAGAATTAGTATAAAGTGCTGAGTTTATTTCACATATCTGCGATCAGAAATATCAGTTCAACTCACCGCAATTCACGTCAGCAAATTTAGAAGAAAAGTCAACAAAAAGTAAAACGGTGAAATTCTAATAATGTTGTTGTCAGCAGCCTTTAGAAAGAACTTAACTGGAAAGACGATGAATTGTGGAATTAATGACGAAATAACAAAGTTGAGATACGAATAAAGCATGGATTCATCTGTGTGATTCCTATAGATTCTGTGTCATATCACTTAGCTTTTAACCATTACCTATCTCGCTCACACTTCTATACGTAACTCAAGTCAACAGTCAGAGACTTAATAAATTTGTGCTTTATCTTGGACAGACTACCCTAAGCTTTCTTCGAATATGAATTATTTAGACTTATTTCTTGACATTGCTGAATCAGATTTATGACCTCAGTATCTAGTAACACCCCTTACCTAAGATTTGTAGATTGAAAAAATCTAAAAGATCCTGTATTAATGAACAATGATAGATTCCCATATATTATTTCTCTAAGTATTCTTTGAGTTCGAACAAGTAACAATTTGTAGGTGTTAGGAGAATCTTTTTACATACCTCCAATGGGTTAAACATTATGAAAATCAATGCTATTGACTGGATTCGAAAATTGCTGTTTATGATCAACACTAAATAGAGACAGACAAACAAAATCAACGTAGAACCTCACACACACACACTGATTTAGTTCAAGCTGCCGTACTTCACAATACCATACAAAGAACAAGTGGATAGAAGAAAACTGATATCAGAGTAGACAAAGGTGTACGGGAGAAGAGAGAATTTGGAAATTAAGGTTAGTGAAAATCTTCAAGCTTTTGAAGACGTCAAATAGTGAATAGATCTGCACCATTGCAATTGATTCTCAGTCATGTCACCAAGAGTCCTTAATCCTTGATTCCTATCGTCTCGGGGACCTCATTCAGGTAGACTACACCTCCTCACACGGCTCAGACCAACAGTCAGGAAATTCCACAGATTAGTACCACGTTTTATTATGGCAACTCTGAAGCTATCTTTCAAACTAACCGAACTTCTGCTAGTATTATACGTCGAGGTAGGCGGTGGCTCGGCATACGAAGAACGTGTCCAAGCCATCTCAATCGTTGAAGGTTCACGCCCTCACTGACCAGCTTGCCTTCACTGCCTAGTACCTTTCACTTGACGTTATGATCAACATCAGCATTCTTTCTTGACTTTTATCTGTAGGCTGTAAGAGTAAGAGCAATTCATTTCGTTGCTATTTCATTCGAATTTTCCTACTCTAGTTATCTGTCTTACATTCTTAGTATGTGGGCTATCAAATGCTAATGAAGAATCAACTCGTACTTGTTTGATCTACTTATCAGCATTTCGCTTTTCTTATCTTAATAAAATATTCATCGATTTCTACAACTATCCTAGAGGGTCTAAAAATTTAGACAGTACTACAAGGGTGACTACGCTCAAAATGCATTGAAACCATTTTGACAGTATCGTTATTTTCTATTGCATCATTTGTTTATTTAAGTAACTACACTTTATAACTGCTGAAATTTTTTTCTGAATTGTCCATTTTCTTGTAACTAGCAAATAAAATGAACCAGTAGAGATGACAACAGTCGGTAATAATGAGTAATAAATTAGCCTATCATAAGAAAGAAACCATTATATATATATATATATATATATATATATTACACCACCTATATGTGTATAGCATATTAGTTCTCTCTCTCACTTATATGTTTCCATTTCAAACTGTCTGACTGTACAACCGTGATTAATTATTCACCATAGCAATGGATACCAGAGAATTTTTCCTGTCTCTGAAACAGTCTGATTTACAGTTTGATACAAAGGTGGAAATCCACAGTAATTGTGAAACAAAATTGGATAAATTTGTTTGGAATAAAATGAAACATTATGATGATTACGCCTTGTCGAATGAATATACAAAGTCAATCACATTTCCATTGCGATCATCATCACCACGGTTGGTGCAACAATTATTATTACCGAAATCTTTAATGCATTATATTGTATCAAATTTCGACTCAAATTTTCTAAATAATGAAACTTCTTGTAGCTTGTCGTGTCTTCTGGAAAAAAGTTTGCTATCTCGTACTCTTTATATGAGTTCAGTACAAGAATTATGTCCTAATTTAAAATGAACAAATCATTTAGTTACTTTAACGATAATGAAATTATTGAGTGTAATGGAGTCGGTAAAGATAGTAAGAAATCTGAAGTCGATAACTATCCCTTTCTTAATAAACGGAATCGATGTGTAAGTTGTTTACTTTCTGAATAATGGATGCATAGAAGTGATATGAAGCATAAAGATTTATTTTGAGCGAAAAAAACGTCTGTAATATAGTTTATTCTCGTTAAGTCATATTAGAAAAAAAGTTGAGTTTAACTTTCTTCAACGCATTATCTAATTTTATTCACTGACCCTGATTCAATATGGAACGTGCTACTTTAGAAAATCACACTCGTCGAATAACACATTGGAGAATGATTGAAAGGGATAAAATGAACCTAAGAAAAACATAAGAACCTAGAGGATACTAATCACCTAGGAAGATTTAGCAACATAAATGAATGAAAGCTGTCATTAACAATGGTCAACATGAGACAGTTGCGGATAAGTTTTGAAAAGTGTGCCATGAAAACCGAAATAATTAACTTTTATTCACATATTTGAATCCAGTTCTGTATGCGTATAAATTGCTTCCATGGATAACAGAAACCTCATCGCTATACTATACATGCGTTTATTCTTTCTTTAATGCTTTAAGTCATGTATGGAAATGTGTAAGCTTCCAGGCTATATAAAATTCGAGAAGTTAGAAGTCAGTGTTTTGACATCCTTGGTAGTATAATCGAGGTCATATTGCCATGATACAGATATGTCAACTTGTTATCTTTCAATATACGTCTGTTTATCCAACATTTTAGCATTGTTTTATTCTCTCTGACTTCATGCATAATTTTGTTACTGTTCATCTTAAAGTATTTAAAGTTTCATTGATCTTTCCTTTGCACACTGTTGCAAGTTTTAACAACTTTTGTTATGTTATCCAACTCTGTTTGACTGTAAAAGTAGTGTGGGCACTGTAAACAAGAAACAGAAGTCGTCTAGTGTTAATTAATGAGTTTAATCTTTTTTATTTTATCTACTGATCTTGGAAGTGTATTGGCTAGACTTACATAATTATTCATCCATACGATTATTTATATTGCTGGTTCATAGTTTTATTTCTCATAAAGTGAATTTATTGTTTGAAAACAATCTGTGACAGATCTATCTCGATGACTGTGGAATTTTAACCGGTTAGTTGAGAATAGTATCACTTAACACTGTCATTTAATAAACAAGACTTAGTACGTAATATACGAATTAGTTAGTGATTATTCAGTTATATATGTTAGAAAGTGTAACTGTGAACACAAGAATTTTACTTGTTCATTGTAAAAACTTTTTTCCATTAGACAAGGATGATGTCTAATAATCTGCTGTGTTTACCAACGGATAAGTCAATTCAACATCTTCCAACTAAGATATATCTGAAAGATGTAAGTATTCAATGCAATGTTGAACAGAAATATCCAGTCAATGATTGTCAAGTTCAAACAAATCAACTCAGCTTAAATGATTTATTCGTTGGTTCCAAATCAACTGAACTGTTGAATATGTAAGTTGTTCTCTTTAAAATTATCACTTCACTTAGACTTCAGATACTCTAAACAGTTAAGCTTTGATGCTGTGCTATTTTAAAAAATCTTTAATTATTTGAAAGACAAAAAGTTTCATTTTACAACTGAATAGTGTCTATTGTGTTGAAAAAACAGAATTAGTTCGTATTATCCATCGTATGAAATCACTGCTGATTGAATTTTCTAAGAAAAAGTTTTGCTTAGTACTTATTACGAAGTTCAACTTATCGGTAGCCTGGTGGTCACTGGTTCGAATCCAGCTGCAGTCCAAATTTCAATTTCAATCATCACCTACTATAAATACTAGTCTGCCAAACCATGGCTATCTCAGATAGTCAAAATAATGATAAAGTAATTACCAATCAAAATTTTAGCTCACAGGATATTTTTGTTTTTATAACTAACGAGTTGCATGTTCATTTCCAGTTTTCTTTTTAAACCTTCAGGTGAATATTCCAAGAGAGTAATGAGGAAGTGTTCCTATTCATTTATTCACTTGCCATGCTAGGGGAAGTTGGACTAGGTTGGAAGAGGATTCAGGGTGACCAGACCAAGATGTGGCATCAGTTGACGAAGTCTCTTACTATTGGTTTGGGTTGTGTGGGTAGATATAGACTGGTTGAGGTCGTCGAGACGAAAAGAAACAACGGTTAAAGACTTGGTGACATGGCTAAAAATCGGTCACAGTGGTGCAGATGTATTCACTCCTTGACATCTTCTAAAGCCTCACTATTTTGGCTAACCTTTTTCTTCAAATTGTTTACTTTCGCACATAACTTAGTCTACTTTGATATCGCTGTTTTTCTATTCACCTATTTTTTGGATACTACTGTGAATTGTGGCAACTTGAGCCGATGAACCTGTGTGCTAGGTTCTAGGTTGATTTTACCATTCAGTACTTTTTAGTATTCATACGTGCGTAGTATAGCGACAGGATACATGAATTCGACAAAAACCGTAAGATAACCTATGTGTATACGTGGTGTTTGAACACACTGCGGTTTCAACTTGGACCTTTGTATCCAGCCTACTTCATTCTTAATTTTAATCCTCTATTATTGCATCTATCCTTCCGTTTTTTGGTTTCGTATAATTTGACGTGATAAGTTGTTTTTAACCGCTTGTAAGTGTACATTTTTAACCAGTTTCATTGAAGTTAAATTCAGAATCTTCAAGCTATGTATCAAGGATGTTAAACTTTTAACTTCATAAATGGACATTTTCAACTTCATCAATCTTTTGCCAACCATTTCAGAAAGCACATTCAATTCAGAAGCTACTACTACCTTATACTGATTCTTACATCTCTTTTCAATTTGTCTCCATTGCAGTAAACTACTAAGTAATTTGTGGAAGCAAGCATGCTTCACAAAAATGCTCATAAAATATTTGATACTGTATACACAGTGTAGTAGTTTCTTGAAGTGGGCTCAAATTGCATCTGTTACTAAGACTCAGTTGGGTTAGTAAATTGCAGAATTTTAAGTGTTTATTTTCAGCCAATGGTTTTTAGATTTTATTTCAAAAAGATATTAGGTGGTAGCAGTATCCTTAGACTTTTTTCACTTCTATGGTTTTATTACTACAATCAAATATCTGAAAAAGAGAACAATTGATGAAGCATATTAAAACTATCTGTCAAATGGGATACCTTCGGTTTACATAAATCATCCTACCGGAAGAAGAACATTAGAAAATTTTAGAAAGTCAACTAAAGCACTAATGATAATTTATTTCTGCACAGTTAGTTCCTCTCGCTTCTGATAGGTCTGGCGTTTTTTATATTTCATCACTTTAGCGTATTATCTTAACTGATCAACATATAACTGCAGATGAGCAGTGGCTAATCAGGTTTTTCCCATAAGAGTTTCCTCAGTTCGAATGTCATTCATTTTCTATCCAAGCGTTCATTTAATGCTTTTCATTACTATGCGACCATATACATCGAAATAACTTATGTTTAGGATAGATTATTATACAGATGAATAACAACAAGCAATATTGTTTGAGGACAAAATGTTGTTCCTCAACAATGAAAACTGACTCACATCTCTGAGTTGGATCTGAGATAATCAGGTGTGATAAAAGTCATTTCCCTGTTTAAAAATTGGTGGTTCACTAGTATTAACCCTCTAATTTGTAGTTTATTGTATCCACTGCCGATAAACATAACGAAAGAGTCTATCTTACACTCACCTTATCTACCTTTACATTGAACGCTACTTTCTCCCCTACTATCTGCTTTTTATACTTTTTTCGATGTTTAAGATCGAATGTGCATGAGGTTGCAACTATGACGGACATCAATATGAATGTGCCTGGAACTCCTTTCTCACCAGCAAAGCGGAAATCAGTACGTATTATGGCACGACCACAATCAAGGAATGTTAAACTTCAGACACCATGGAGTATGATACCATACAATACATTAAATGGGTCAAATAAAGTAAGTCGATATATATATATAAATGCATTATCAAAAGGGCTAAAAATTTAGTCGTATAATCAACAGTGATCGTGTGAGGAAGAAATAAAAGCTTATGGGCAGTCGTGGAGCCAGGTTAGAAAGACTGAAAAGAATAGAGTGAAATGATGACGTACTACTGAAGCCGTATGTCCCACTAGGAACCCAAGGGACAAATAATAATATAACAATAAATAATCAACAGTATAAAGGTATTTCTAAATCAGCAACCTTCATCGAATTTTTTATCCTATTACCTGTAAAGTATATGTTGTCTGTATTGTAAATATCCATCATCATCATCATCATTATCAACATAGGACCAGGCATTACTGCGTAACGGTCCGAGTTGCCACACCTCATATCAGCACATCAAGTAAAAAGGTAGTGAGGTGAATATCCCATATAAAAGAGTTCATTCCACTACAATTTGTTATGATCCACACATGCAATCAGCCTTTTTTATGTGATATTCGTTAACCTGATTTCAGACTTCACTACAATTCCAACTATGTTAATGTAAACAAATTAACCAAATTGTACATCAAAATTTTAGCACCGAAATATGCTGTCACTGATAGAGCTGAATGTATTAAAGTCTATTGATGAATTTCATATAGAGGGATAAAGAAGTGAGATGCACTCAGTAACCTTGTGCACATTCATGCAGTAGGCAATAGGCCACGCCTATTATGTGATTGTCCGAACTGCGGTAGGTGTAGCGGGTTTCGAACCTATGACCCACTAGTTGAAAGTTATCTCCGTGAACCAACGAATGATTAATATCCTCACAGTGATAAATCGGCTTCATTTGTGCTTTTCTATAACTGTAGTTATTCAAAAGCTAAATGGAGTGCAATGGTGATCTTGGCAACAAAACTGAAGGTTGGCATTCAGGTTTCAATTTGATGATTTACAACGTTCCAGGTATACTATTGTTCTGAAATGAAGAATATTTTTAGCTCAGGTCGATGATCTGTCCCAATCTATCTACTAAGAAGAAAAATGATGAACAACTGCAAGTTCAGAGGTCATTCAGAAAAATATCCAACAGGAAAGTCTATGCAATCAAAGGAAACAACCAACCACAAACTACCTCGTCAGGGCAAGCTACCTGATTACTCACAGAGAAATCCTGATAGTTCACATCATATTGAAGTTAATGCTTATGATGTCATCTAAAAAGACAACGATTAAACCACTCGACCCACTGGAAGTAAAATACAATCAAGATATTAACGTTCGATAACTGCAGCATTACCACAATCGAAAAATGTCACGACAATATTAATGTCGAGATTGGGATGGTATCTGCTACACCTTTATACTACTATAGTTTTGTTGTTCAAGCCTGCCGCCAATGTTGTCAACTTCTTCGGATGTAAAACATGCTAGGTTAGGGTATTCCATGAAACAGCATGCAGTGTATTCACTCAGATTGTTGCTAACACCCACAGCTGCTGTAGTTCGGATTATTGCTTTATTCTGTTAGACATGGAAGTTTGTTCGAAAATGCGTGGACACTGACTTTCCGATTAGACGAAATTGGAGTCTATACAGTCACTCGAAATTCGGAAAACTCTAACATCTAATTTCTCATTCAAACTAAGGAACATAAAATTGTTAGCGTGGGCTTTGAAGTAAGTCACATCAACATAAGGCATGCAAACCGATTGTATAGAATGTCTCGTAACTGAACGCAATTGACATTTGTAAAACTCTCGCTGTCTGATGGTTAGTAGATAAAAGTCAGTACGCCATTAATGTTTCGTACTATCAACTCTATGTAGCGCAATTTTTAGTCCTTCAGATAAATTTAAATCATTTATGTGATATTTGGGTTAGTGTTAGACAATGTAACTCGGTGTATGCACTATTGAACAAAGTGACTGACTATATACAAGTACAACCGACAAATAATTCCCTTTAATAATCACTTCACTGGTCCAAACAATGAAAAACTGTTTCTCCCTCCTAAAGAATATTTTGTCTTATTTACACGCAGTCATCTGAATGTTTCTGTGTTCCAGGTAGTATTGATTTCCTCACTGAGACTCAAAATAAATAAGTACAAATCATTCATTTCCATCATTTGTGTACATCACTGAAGCAGGATTTATATTTTAATGAGATCTAGGCATCAGATATTCAGCGACAAAGCTTAACATTCATATGGAATCCGTGTACTTCTATCTCAACACCTGTATAGCATTATCGCCAGCTATCATACAAATATGAAGCATAGCCTTGTGAAGATAATGTGTAGAATAATAAACTCATATATATTAATAATAATATTAATAACTTTATCGCAGAAAATAACTTTTAATACAATTAGGAATTCTCAGTGTGATATTTCAACAAATTTACTGCTTATACAATTTTTTCGAATTAAAAAGCTATGGCAGTTACATAATGTTAATAATAACAAAATGATAGGTAATGCGCAGCAACCAGTATTTTTTAGGTCATTATCTAATCTGTATGTTGCACGTGGGTAGGATAGGAAAGCACACGTTAGTTTGATGGTGGAGGTTCATTCATCCAGTAGGAAAAATCGCTGTTCCAGCTACATGTTCCTGTAATACCTATATGATGAACTGTTGTGCGTTCAGGGACCGACTACCTTATACCGTGATATTTTCTCGTTGTTAACCCGTCTAACGATCGGTTAAAGAGATTTGAAGAGTGCTCTACAGTGTTTTACGATTCATTGACATTTGAATGGTTAAAACAAGTAAAAAAGCAGCATTTTGATTAAATATATTCGATGAAATATTTTTGGTAGGCCAAAATTTAAGCAGGTCGTCAAGAAGTGATAAGTGCAGTACTTGAAACAAGTTATTAAACACTATGAATTTTTTTTTCTATGTAGTATCCAATGTGTAAAAATGTCTGCATATCTGTGGATAAAACACATCACCAACCAATTACAACAATGACTAGTATACCAACTACCTCTGCTAGCGTCAATACTAGTTCAGTAGTGAATTATGATTCTTGTATCCCTCATCCTTATCCAGTTGATACTGACAGTATTCAGTCTATTGAAGAGCCTGATAGTTGGATATGGCCTACAACTGCATCCGCAAGAAGTGATTGTACACTCGTACAAGGAAGTGATTCTCGCCAGCGTCATATATGTAAGTTTCTCCTGTATTTTTATTAATTGAGTTATCATTCTATCAGCTAATTTTCTTTTGACCTGTTATTTTCTAATCAATTTGGTGCATTTTTCCTGAATCGCAAAAATCTAAGTTACCGAAGAGTAAAAGATTCAGCAGTCCTTAATAAAGGAAACTTGATGAAGGCATTTTATTTTCTCAAGAGTTACAAAAAATGTGTAAAATAGCTTAAAGAATAAACTGAGCCATGTAAAACGTTTCTTAAGACAAAATAAAAATGCATACTAGTTAGTATAGTTCAGGATCAAGTTTTTAATGTTCCAAGAAGATTTTCAAAAGAAGCATTGTGTTCTGTATCCATGGAAAAAAGGTTATGTTAGTCGTTTATTAACATTGTTACTTTCAACTGCATATTGTGATTTCGAAAATTATAATGAATTCAAAATTATTGGTCTAAGGACTTTAGTTTCAAACAGTATGGTTACGAGTTTCAACCCCGCTTCCCATATCGAAATGTAGACAGGAAAGAAATATAAATTTATAGGTGTGGGTTATTAGCAGCTGCATAAATCGGTAAATGGTTGATGAGTTGTTACATTGTGTTTAAAAGCAAGTTTGCCTGTTTAAGTTGTACATAACTTTGAAGGTTTTCATGTCATTCGATAAATGAAAATATCGGCTAGTCTTTCTGAAAAAAGAAAAGTTTTAAAGCTCTTCATATTAAGTACTTCTAACATAACATTCACTTATGAAATATAGTAAATACCCTTATGTTTTTCTATTTTTTAAGTACGTTTGTCTTATATATAATGCAAGGTATTACTTATTGTTTATATGTAATCTTTTATTATGTAAGCTAATTCATTAGATAATGTATCCAGTACTCAACTACCTGGTCTTACATCCACTGAATATACAGCTGCTAAATTTATGTTTGGTGAAGATGTTCAAATAGGTTTAACAATAGCCCGTTATATGGAAGAAAATTTGAATATGGATGAAGTATCACCTGAAACTTGTCCAGAAGACGAAATTTTACAAGATTTACAAAAACGTAGAGCTGATTGTATTGCAAAAATGAAGTGAGTTAATACATATGCAGACATGAACCTTATTCACAATTAAAGTTATCTCTGATAGTCTAATTAAAAAATTAAAGCTTAAGATTTTGAAGTTAAGTTAAAAATGAAAATGTATATTACAGGATTAATAAGAATTCTGTGTATTGTTTCTATTCGTAATATGCATTAATTGAATGACCAAATTTAATTCAATCACCAACGAAAGAAGTAATAATTCTCTACAATTTGACCTTGTAAAACCACAATAAAACATACTGTCACGTACGAGTTGAAAATAATCTCCAACTATTACCAGTTTATCTTATTGATTAGGAGCAAGTTAACTGGTAAATAAACTTACAGATAGGTAACTGAGAAAACTTATAATTTACACACACATACAGAGCAATACACATCAATCAAAGTTTCTCTGACAACAGCATAAAGAGATGAGATTTCTTGTCCCTGCTAACATGCACTCAGTTATAAGAAACGAGACAGTTTTCCGTTCTGTGTTGCTTTTTAGTAACTCGATTTTCTGAAAAACCCATTAGTCTGTTATTAGAAACACTTCAAGAAAAGTAGTCGGTCATTTTGGTTACACTTTTCTAATGTGGACTTTAAGCCTGCGCGACAATTGTTTTTTAATATGACATCATTGTATTCGCGTCCTGATTATAGATGAGGGACGTATTTTCCATGTTTTTGAATAATTGCCTGTAGTTGTAGTTCAAACAGGGGCCGATTAACATCACTTCAATCCATTTAAGTTAAATAAGCATCGTAACATCTCCTTCAGATAAATTATTAGTTCTCCCAAGACCAATGTGTGTAGACCGATGCAAATTCATGTGTAATAACACAGTCACGGTTAGTGAAACACCGGTGAAAAAAGAAGCATATTAAAGACGTAACTCGATAGAAGTGTCAACATTTTCAATCCTCTCAACAAACTGAAACATATTGTCCGTGTAGTAATTAAACACTTGCCTCCTAATCTGCTGAACTATTTCGATTGAACACCGAACTATGATAACGAGAGCTAATTATATCCAAAATCGGAAGTTTAATTTGTTGAAATTTTGCAGTTCTAGTTCATATGAACACAGAATTATGAAGTCAATATAAGTCGAATGCATTCTTACAAACCGGAGGTAATGAGTGAGCTACTTCCTGGTTCTATTTAGGTTCTTGTAGGTCAAGTTGGTATTCCCTACGGACTGACATCAGTTGGAGAACCACTGAAGGTTGTTGTAACTCATTGGTGTAGGGAGTTGACTTTCAACCAATGGGTCACGGGTTGAAACACCGATCCACCTTCTAAGGTTTGGGCAACCAGTTGCATCATTAACCCTTACACGATAGGTGTGGCTTGTTGTCAACTGCAGGAATGTGCACATGCTTACTGAGTGAGTTTCGAATTTTTTCGTTGACGTTTCATCCTAGTGTGGGACTCGTCAGCAGTGCGTACCCACAACCCCATTAGCGGTTGAAACCAGAACCTTCAGATCCCATGGCGCCAATAGGTTGGGACCCAATAATCCACATTTTTCTGTTTCTGTCATTTCTCGATGTTGTCGTTGAGTACCTGTCCTTACTTGTAGGTCACTTCTCAAATGGTACTGAGAATGCTTATTTCCTATTGATCCAGTAATTTTTTGATGCTTTTTATTCTCTTCAATCTGCATCAAACAATATTTTAAATACGGATAAAAAGTCGTTTACATTTCTCACGTATTACAGGTTAGTCATGAAACAAATTCATGAACGGGAAAAAGAACTGATAAACGATTCAAAATATCCAGAGTAATTTCAGACTAAAGGTTCGACATCATTCTATGATTAACACTTTCATTTGTGATATTACCTATATTTCATTGTATACAATAACACTACTGCGTATGCTTTATATTAAAATGTTATTCTGATTATTACAACTGTTGGTTTCTTGAGATGCCTGTGCAAATACTTATTTCAAAAATTCATCACTTTCCACTCAGATGCTCCAAAAAGTATGTGTTTAGAAATTGACGTAACAGTTAAAGAGATATGGCTGAGCATGTTGACCAGTTCGCTTAAATGAAAAATCACACCAACCGCGAGGAAATGGAAAAAATATGTACCGTCAACTTGGCTTCTGTCAGGGATGCCTATATCCCTTATATTCCATACTTACAGTTTGGATATATTTGAACCGTTGTACCTCACGCTCTTTTTCTCACCCATGGGTCATATTTCGTTTGACCCACTAGCTTTCTGGTTGGCTACTGCCTCTTCAAGCGTACTAATTATTCGTTATCTTTCAAGGTTACTGTAAACTCTGTAAATAGGGTCCGTTTTCACTTATAAACGTTTTCAGTCCAAGATACTATAAACTCATCTGATTTCCAGTCTTTTGACTTCTCTTTGCGAATCACTCGGGTTGAATCGTCTCAACCCTTGACTATCAATCGTTAAGTATTTTCGTTCGTCCTCACAACTCTGCATCATAACAGTTTCTGTTAACTTCAATTGGACTAGTGCAGATATATCCACATCTAATCTTAATCTCTACATCGCATCTCACTACTGCTGTAGTCTCTCTTCCTGTAACTTTTGATTCCATTCTCTCTATCCTTATCTAGAATCATGATGTGTAGGTCGTTACACAACAATGCCTGGTGCAACGCTGATATAAACTAACTCGTCACACGTGTCACTGGCAATGTATATCCAAGTGCACGTAAAGCGTTAGTTTTACCTTTTTGGTGATGCATCTTGTTCAATTGTACCAATAAGAAAGACAACTGATGAGGTTTTAAGATGTACGAATGTTAAACCCTTTTCCTTTGAAGCACCGCTTGCGTGTATTTTGAATAAGTAAGCGGTGTCTTTTGTTGATAAACAGTGCTGGGTAAAAGAAGAAATTCAGTGAATGGCAATGAATCTGGATAGACCCAAACACTTTTGGTACATATTACACATGTTTAACCTTTGCTTACTTCAACTTTTGTTGAACAGGATAGGAGTTAGGTGGGCCAAAAGAGGTGATACTATGCCTCATAAGTTTGCATTGATATGAGCGAGGATATTTAATGACACTTTACCGCTAGTTGATGTTGACGCACCATAAGTCAACTCATACAGACTTACCAGAATTGAAGCCATTAACATACCAGTTGACTCCTCCCCGAGTGACAAGGGCGTTTATTGTTTGAGGCACTTCTATCTGCCTATCAAACAATCCTGATTACTTCTTGATCATGATTACTCATGCCATTTGGTAGCATATAGTGTACTTGCTATTAACAACATTAGGTACGTCATATTTTAGTTCTTAAAGGCAAACAATATACAGTTTTACAACTCGATCTCAACTACTTGTACCATTTCTAACATATACTGTTAGTTCGACTGAAATGAAACTATATAGATACGAGTGAGATAATAGAGAAGTAAAAAGACGTTTAACGTATGTTTAAGTCCATTGTTCAGTATGAAAATAGGATCTGCTATTGCTAAATAACAATCGAGGCTACCAAATATGGCATCGGAATATCAAAGTATTGAGCAACGCGATGAAACACAAAGAAATAGTAATGTAATCGAAAGTCAAGAAAATAAACTGGAAAAGAGATAAATGAAATGTGATATTACGACTAAGAAGATAAGCCTCGATTGTATTAATGCTTGTGATAAATTCTGAACCATATCAGTTGCAATCTCCCATCGTCAGTTTTAGTTATCTCAGTCTATGTTTCTGCGCAGTTCAAACCGGCACTCACGGACTTCCACGGACCGGTGTCACGTTTCGGTCTGACAACACAGTGTTTTTCTAAATCACTGAAGGTACTGTCTTGATGTAAACGAGTGCTAAGCATAAGTATTGCATTTCCAACCGACCTTGGTCAATTACGGCTCAAAAACTTATCAAATGCTTAGTCGAAAAGCATGAAAAATGCGTTGACAAGACAAGGATGTTTTAAAAACTTCATTTCTAAATATCCCCTTCGAATCGAAAATCCCGCCTACCTCTGCGAATTATGGTTTAAAAATAGTTGGCATTTCTTTAGAATACACCATCCCAGTAAATAGGGGAAGTAGAACAAAAGTCATCCAATTAAACAAACATAAATACACTAGTCATTAACTAGTAAAACAATAAAAGTGGAAATGAGACTACATCATTGCGGGGAGGTAAAGAAGTTATAAACATACAAGATAAACCCATTTATACTCATAACGTGAACAATATATAATAATGGTAGTAGATAGAATGATTTCAATGAGGTAATGTAAGTTTCATTGGACAACTAATTACATATTATGTATGTATATCCATATCTATGTTCAAAAATATTACAAATGAAGCGAAAAAGGTATCCATCTTCCCCTAAAAAGTTGTTCCTATTTGCAATGAATAGAAGTTGGGGGTACGGAGTTCAACGGGAACATAAACAACTCATCATTACTATAACACAAAACAAATGATCACCTAAGAATAATTGAGTGAAGGTATGAAAAGACAGGTTGAAAAGTAAAGTTTTTTCATTGCTTTGAATTGAAAGTTATTTGTGTTTCAAGTCAGTTATTGTGATAATAATGATAAACGCCGAAAAACTATACACTTCTTTAATTCATAATGTACACACATGAACCAGTAATGCAGTAAACAGATGCCTATATATATATATATATATATATATATATATATATATATATATATATATATATATATATCTTCATCCACTCAATCCCATAATGACAGGTTGATATACGTATACAATTAGACCAACGAGAACAGAGAAAACTGCCACAATACTTGTTACAATCACAGAACGAGAACTCTGTAAACAAATGGTAAAAGAAGCTTTTAGTGGATAACTGGCAATAAACAGGAAGTTATCAAAATTTGAATTACTGAAACACATTATGAAAATTTAAATAGTAACATCGTGGAGTTAAAAAATCATACTAATACACGACATTATGAATAATCTATTAGGTGGCTAGCAGTAGGACCCAGAACGCGCGCTTTGTCCGATTTTGGACACAGCTAGATGTGCCTGCGCCCCAGTGAATGATGTTGTTCCCACTGAGACTCGAACTTAGTCCCCATCGTTTCGAACTCCAAAACGTTATCCACTGGGTCATGAGAGCCACCAATTGTGCAATATGTATTAGTTCTTGTTTATAGATACTTGTAATTTCTTATTGCTTTGGAGTTTGAAGTGATTGGTGTTGGGTTCGAGTCTTAGTGGGAACATCATCACTCACTGGAATACAGTCACATCCAGTTGACGGGTCCCAAGTAGGACAAAATACGCGTCTTGGACTCCACTGCTAGCCAATAAATAAACTACAATATAATGAATATCTGAGTAGTATCGAGGCATCCGTATAGGAACCCATCTGCTAACAGAGGTCGAGTAATTCGAATCACTATAGCAACGAAAAACCACAAGTATCGAAAAAAAAACATCAGAAATATACGTCGGTAAGTCAAACCAAATAAATGCAGATGAAACGGTTACTCAACCTATATGATTCTAGAGTAAAATTTTGTACGAGATAACTGTTGTATCCGTACTTACTAAGAATGAGAGGAACAATCAGTGGATCGCGAATATCCTTAACGTGTCCTTCTTTCGTTTTCATATACTGATATTCTGACTAGGCTACCAACGCTTTTGAGACCTTGTACACTTTCCATATATTTTTACAAATATAGTATGATTGTCGGCTATCAGTCTACGTTCGTCTATCTGCTTGAGTCAGTTGGTGCGATTTAGTGACAGTGGAAGTAACTCCAACACAGTAACTTGTGGAAAAGCAATAGTTAGGGCCAGAGTTGGGCATTTCCTTCATTCCTTAGTCATAGGACCAAATATGAAACCCAAACCCAGGCTAAGACTAATAACAACAGAACCAAAACAAAAACCATCACGTGCTCAGTCCTGGATGACATTTCGATTACGTAATTTCCATCAAGAGACTAAGCGGCTAAATTAGCACTAACAATAAAGTGTAGAGGTGTTCATCTGTTTATGAATGCAGAGGTGACATGATCGTGTAGCTTGATAAAACAATAACCATCAAATACCGTTGATGGTACCAATATCAACCTACAGAATAACTGGTCTTTTCCACTATGGGTTATTTTTACTTACTTATTTAGAAAACAAACTTGTTATAGAAGATGCGCCATACTCCAATTCATACATCTGCGTTAAAACAAATTTGTTGAACAATTTGCTTTGAACTTGCGCTAAAATATTGATTCATTTCTTTGGTATTTCTTTTCTAAAATGATTGAAGATTCCCCGTCTGAAGAATACTAGTATCACAAAATCCTCTACATTATTAAAAACTCAAGTGCACCCAATAAAGGAATGCTACAGTTTTTGATGAATTTTAAGTTTTTTGAAGAAAGAGATGACCGATCAGAATTATACTTCTAGGTAGAAGTAAATTAGTTGATTGTCTGAATCAACTCATTCTCTTGTATTCAGGGTAGATAGTCGTGTTGCATCAGTTTGCCTTTCACAGGTAAAAAAAAACTACATGGCAACACTGCCTGAAATTCGATCAAACTCACAAGGCAAAATACATATTTTCCTAGCGTTATTACCAAACAATGAAAATGTCGTCGGAATAAATTAACTCAACTAGACAATTTACAAGTGGATGGGTGTTAATCCCCACATGAACACATTCGAGAAAAGTTTATCAGTAGACGTTACTTACCATGAGATAAGGTAATTTAACTTTTATTGGAAATAACTTGTTGAACGACTAAGCAATTACCACTAACAACAGGTGGGAAGATTATTTATCTTAAAAAAACTAAATCAACAAATGTTTGATTGCCATGTAGGTTAAAAGGGTTGAAATAAGCATCTTACATTCGAAACATTACAGTCACGGAAAAATCAAGCATCAGGACACACCTTTCGGGAGATACAATTCAAGGTTTATTACAGAAATGCCAACTGGTCCAGTCACCTGAAAATGACTTTGGTATTGAATTAGAGACTTGAATAATGTCTGTTTACTCAGAATACATAGAAGCCGTTGTGTTTTACTTCTTTTTTCCACTGCCATTTCGATCAACATCAATACTCAGCATCTTTGACTAATAATATCTACTTGAGTTTTTACAGATGTGATGCATTCATTTAACATTTTATTGAAAGCAACATTATACTCAATAAAACCTTGGTCAATGGAAACAAACACCATTCTCAGAAAGAAGGTAATGATCACCGATAAGATCTGGTAGACGGCAAAAACTGGAGACCATAAAGGATTGTAGACATTTCTTGGGAAAGCATATAATGAAAGAGCAGAAATCATAAGATCTATTGAATAATCTGATCAATGATTCGAAATGGTTGATTCGACAAATAATAATGCCAATTTACTTACCACCAGTTGTTTTACTTTGGATATAGTAGACAATTTCGTATTACTAGTTTGTTTAATTCTTGGAAATCTGCGACTAACAGATCGTGAAAGGCGTTCACGTTCTTTCTGACGTATAGCTCGAGCACGTGTTAACTCTATACTAGCCATCTGCGAACCTGGAGCAAGAGTTAGCACTTTCTGAAGAATAGGAATCGCATCGTCTACTTCGTTCATCTCCAGAAGAGCCTATTGATAAATGAATAATACTGACTTTACAATTAGCTTCATATTCTGTAATGATGGTAAAAATTATACCGCAACTAAAAAGACTGTCTATCCCATCATGGAACTTAAAAGCAGGATGACAATAATGACAGTAGTAATACGACTTCACAATTAGGCAGAGATTCATTTATTAAACTACAAAATATCTAATATTTGTTACCACCTAACTGCCCAAAATTCAATAGATAAAGAAATGTGTTTTAATCTATAAACAATGCGAAGAATCCCGACACGATTAGTCCCCTAGATAAATCTAAACCACGCAATGAGAAGACGGAGATTATCTGAAAATTATCATGTTTTAAAGCCATACATTTAGAACAGTCTGATCACACAAGAACCTAGCGAATGATTCATATAAAACCTAGGAAGGTTAATTAAGACAATGGAATTCTAACTACGAAGAATAATAAAAAAAGAAGGAAAAGAGGAGAGGAAAACATGTTCAAATCGTCACCACCAACAATATGATGACTTGAATTTAATACTATGATAATGGGTGGTCCGATTGTTTTAAATGTATAGCCTTAATACGCTATTCGGTTCAGATAATCTCCCTCTTCACATTACTTTGTGTAATCGCGTACAAGATCGAACACCGAGGTTCATCATCATCAACCTTGAGAAGGGTTGGAAGGTCAATATTTAGGTCCCATTCAGGTTCGGGCTGGACACTGAGCAACTGATACGTCGTAGCAGATCAGTCAAACTATTACAGTGTTCCGCCCAACGCTCTAGCAGCCTGTCTTGAGAGACAATCGGGGTCTCATCCTCTTCGGTGAAGGTCAAACTAACTATCGTCTTTTTGTCTAAGTGATTGCCAGGTACTATAAGCTGATGATGCATTCCCCATCCCTCTCCCTTTCGCCACCCACAACTGCTGACAATCATTGCGAAGACTCTTAGTTAGTGTACGTTTAAACTGTTTTCGCTCCTCATCGTAGTCAGAAGCGGCTGCAATGGGACAGAGACAAAATCAACGTAGAACTTCGCATACAGGTGCATCAGCTCAGGTTGCCACACTTTACAGTAGTACACAAAAAACAGGTGGACAGAAAGGAGTAGCATCAAAGATAACGTTATGTGAGAGAATTTTTGAAGATAGAGCTTAGCGCAAGTATTCAGCCTTTAGATATCAAGGAGTGAATACGTCTGCGCCATTGTGACCGATTCCCAGTCACATCACCAAGAGTCATCAACCACCAACTCCTTTCGTCTCGCCGACCCCAACCACGCAGTTTGCATCCACCCACATGACCCAGACCAATAATCCGGGACTTCATCGACTGATGCCACGTCTTGGTCTGGCCACCCTGAGCCCCCTTCCAAACTCCCCCAACATTACGTGTAATGGTAGGCGGTGGCTCGACATGCACAGTACATGTCCAAACCATCTCAGTCGATGAAGGTTCACAACCGACTTGCCTGTCTCGCCTAGTACCATGTACCTGACTTCGACACTGCTCATACGGTGATTCCACCAAACGCAAGCAATACTACGAAGACATCTGTGATCAAAACCCTGTTATCGCTACATGTCTTCTACTTTTAACGACCATGTCTTACAGCCGTACAACAGGACGGACAGAACAGACTGTAGCGCAGTATACTCGTCCTTTGATAGATAATCAGGTATTTCGGTAGTTGGTGCCGGAGACGACGCAAGTTGGCAAATGCCAAACAGGCCTTGTTTATCCGAGCTGAGGTTTCGTCATGTTGATGCAACTCCCAAGTAAGTTTAGCGGTCAGCATATTCCACCACTTCACTCCCTATCATTAAACTGGTAGTGGATGTGGACCAATTCTGGAGCATTATCTTACATTTGAAAGGTGCGGATCACATGCCAAACATGCACAGATTTCTGCTCAAGATGTTCAGAAGGCTCTACATCTTGTCAGGGTGTTCACTCAGCAGGGAAATATAATAGGTATTTTCCAAGTCAGCCTGACAACCTCCAAGGAGTTGGTCAATCCCTGTGAAGTTAGAAGCATCTAGGAGTATGTGCATTAGTACATATGTAAAGAAGTTAAGTAGGAACGGTGATGGAATCTCTGGCAAACACCACTTGTTGCCGTCAATTCCAATGACAACTCTCCATAAGCCCTTATACGGCTGTATGAGTTCCAGTAGGAAGTTTTAATTGGTGTACATAATTGCTCGACACTCCCTTCACAGTCAGACACTATCAGAACACTTCACGTTCGACAGAGTTGAATCCCACCTCCAGGTAAGGAAATATGGCGGGTGTAAGTCACTGGTAAGTATGTATTTGTTCCAAAACCTGTAGAGGGGTGTAAATCTGATTGATACACCTTCATCCAGGTTTGAAACTTGCTTGGTTTTCTCCAGCTTGATGTTGCTCAGCTGTAGTTAGGCATAGGATAATTGCGGACACTAGGATCTTGGACACAATATTAGTCAAACTAATTTCGCTATTGTTGTCAGTGGAAGATTTCTCTCCCCTTTTATAGTCTGCGATGATCCGTGAAGTAGATGAGTCTGACGGGACTACCTCTGAGTCCTATACGCTATCTACCACCTCCGTTTCTCTAATCAGCAATTTCCTACGTCTATCCTGGAAAACATTGGGTGGCAAACTGTCAGATCCCGCTGGTTGAACGGGTTTTCGAAATGTTGTACCCAACGTCTTAGCCACTTTTCCTGAGTCGTTATGAGGCATATGAGATGCCATCTGAGACAGTTATAGTTTTGTAGGCGCGTCCTTGTATAAAGAGATGATAACTGAAGCTGAAAGAAAACATGTTTTGCAAGGACTTTAGGCCATTAACTTGAATTCCTGTCATGATTCAAGTTTTACTCCAACTTCAACTTTCAATCCAATAAATCTTAATGAAACGGACGCAAATTAAGTAAAACTGAATAAAACAAATGATAATTGTCTAGGTTACATGATGACCAGAGAATATAATGTAATTGTGTACAGGCCCATATGTATGAAGGTTAGTTACACCACAGTGCCTAGAATTGCAACCAAAAGCCTATAATCAAGATGATGTCACGGTTTTAATACGTACCAAGTTAAATTAGATGTACAATGATAAGAAACTAGGTGTATGCCAGTCAAAGGAATATTTTAAATAACGATCAAACGCATCCATTACTATCGGATGTATGACAGAAAAGTTGGAAAACAAATGAAGCGTGGGAAGTAGATCATAAGGACTGGGAGCTGTGGCTCATTAGTCTAAGCATTCGATTTCCAACCGATTGGTCCCGTGTTCAAACTCCGCTCCACCCACCGTGGTCTGGGCAGTCAATTAGTTGCATTAGCCTTCACATAACAAATGTGGCTCATTGCCTACTTCACTATCATGCACATGGCTGCCGAATAGATTCGATTCATAGAGACCAACACATAACCGATGGACCTTACCTTAACAAGCTCGTATAGCTGCACTATCAAAATAACAGTCACCCAGATGGTCAATATTTAATCACAGAGTCACGAGTTCATTCCCATCCTTAGTGAAGTTGGCCAGCAATATTTAGCTTCACACAAAAATGTTCTTTACTGGTGAAAAGGACATGTAAATGGCTACTAAACTGCATGCATTTACTCTCTGACTGTATCTGTGATGTGATGGTAGCAGGAGCATAAAGAAGAATATCAATTTCATCAGTACGAGGAGTCAAGAACCATCTGTTGTCCAACAGCATGGAAATCATTTATAACTGAAATCACTTCTCACTTAATAACCAGGCTTCCTACATCTCTACCCACTGTTTACCTTCCCCAGTCCCTTCAATTGATACCTTTTCGCACCAATTGTTTTGATCAAGTACAAGTTACACATATGTGCTCCTTAAATGATATGAAATGTCTATACTAAGCCACTGGGGGCGTCCCGTTAGTCATTTTTGGTAATAAAATCGAATCGAGTCAAAACGCACTCGGCTGCCTTGTACACCACTCGTGAAGTAGGCAACGAACCACATCTATTGCGTGAGGGTTAGTGATACTATCTGGCTGCCCAAACCTCGGTAGGCGGAGAGGAGTTCGAACCTGAGACCCAATGGTTGGTAGCCATCTCCCTAAACTATAGTTCTAAAAATGAATGAAAACTATGTAAAGTGACCAACTGGAGGTTAACTAAGCTGATGATTACATGACTAATAACTATTTCACTTGTAATGATGATAAGGGATTTAACCTAATTTCCATAATGAAACTAATATCTTCATTCCAGATTCAATAAGAACGTAGCCATTCTCTTATAAATAAATGAAAAGTCTTCAGAGAGAATCACTGCATCATACACCACATACATCAGTACATGGGTAAAAAGTTAAAGCCACGGCTCCATATAATGTCAGACAGTACACAGGGAACCAGGAACTTTCATGCAGCAGCCAATTTTAAATATACTCATAAAATAATTTTAACTATTGCTCATTAAAAAGATGACAAATAACGCTCAAAAAGTACCAGTAACACTAACCTTTCCTTTCCTAAACAGAGCTTTGATATTTTCTGGATCACTTTGTAAAACAGCATCACATGACATTACGGCTGCATCATACGCCTGGACCTGGAGGCAAAGAACAAAACCAACTATTTTTATTCTTTACAGACCAGAACCTGCTATGATAATAACTGAACTGCTATATATTCGTAACACCTGCTGTTTGACGTTAAGCATGATTCCAACGTTTAGTGAATGGAACATTCCCTAATAACCCTGGTAAGTTCGATTCTTAAAAAATCAGTATTCTTTATTTCTGTGTTTTAGAAATTTCCCCTCTGGCAACATACATGTAATTTCAGACCTCATAAGGGTTCCTGTGAAAACCTGATAAGAGAATGCTATTTGATTGCCGAATTCACGCATCTAAAATCACCGCAACTGAACATGAGGCCTGCTACTTAGGCCTGTAAAAAAAGGTTAAGTAGAATAGTGAGATCGGACTTATTACTAGTTTAAACCATTGGATGAATCCCCAATAATGTATATCGTAACTGAAAAATAGTTGAGTTGATTTGAAATAAATTTACATCAACCATAGTAGATACCTCAAGTGTAGTCTATATATCTATAATCTGCAATACTTTTTGCTAACTGACCTCTTTACTGAAGGTTTTTATTATAAGAGAGATTTTAATGCAGCGCAGATTAGCAAAAGAATAAAAATAGGCTCGTCCACTTTTTACGCCATTTACCTTCAGTCATCATTTAACGATTCATATATATATATATATATATATATATATATATATATATATATATATATATATATATATATATATATATATATATATATATATATATGGGTTTATTGACAATATTTCACAGGTTATTTCTGTCTTCCTACTAATGAACTTTTAACGACTATGTGTAGGTTTGTACAGCAGACAGATATACTTATTTTGTGAGGGCTTACAATACTACTCAGCAGTTGAAGCCTCCATAGGGGAGACTGGGTTTTATTAGTCACACATACCGAAAAAACAGCAAAATACTACCCATCATACACATCATACTTTTCGCATGAATCCAATTTAGCAGTCAAGATCTAGTTATTCTATGGGAATATCCGAAGATACCTTACAAAATGTAGTGCATTTGATATCATGACATAGTCTTGGGCTATAAATATCCCTAGAAGAATATAAATAGCGATGTATTTTCAAGACGATCCCAAATTTCCATCAAATTATGATTGTCAAAATCTTCCAGTTAAGCCATGCAAAAGGTAAAGGATGTCAATTAAAGACAATATACTTCCGTCATGAAGCTAGATCGAAAATTTCAGATCAATATTTATGCAACAAAGAATTATCATACACTGGTGAGTACAACTATTAGTGCTGTCAAAAATGCTGTCGTCTATTCCCGAAAATAAATTCAACTGATTGAGAAGTGTCGTATAACATGATCGGTAAATATACCTGATCTATGACCAAACTACAAAACTGAACAACAGTTACACTCCAAGACATTAATTCACTTAATCGAATGCATGAGACAAAGAGAAAAGCGTAGAATCTTGCACAGAAGTCCATAATTTCAATTTCCCAAACTTGATAACAGAACAGAAACACGAAAGAAGCAAAATGAGAAGGATGTTAAAATAAGTAAAAAAATATCAGATGGGAGATAATAAATAAACCAAGGTCAATGAATGTTCAGAACTATGATAATAAAGACAAACTAAACTTACTCTACTATGATTGATTTATAGACATGTTACCGAAAATCTTCAACCAGGCGGCAATTTACACATTCCAACACAGTACATGTCCAAACCATCTCAGTCGATGAAGGTTCACAACCGACTTGCCTGTCTCGCCTAGTACCATGTACCTGACTTCGACACTGCTCATACGGTGATTCCACCAAACGCAAGCAATACTACGAAGACATCTGTGATCAAAACCCTGTTATCGCTACATGTCTTCTACTTTTAACGACCATGTCTTACAGCCGTACAACAGGACGGACAGAACAGACTGTAGCGCAGTATACTCGTCCTTTGATAGATAATCAGGTATTTCGGTAGTTGGTGCCGGAGACGACGCAAGTTGGCAAATGCCAAACAGGCCTTGTTTATCCGAGCTGAGGTTTCGTCATGTTGATGCAACTCCCAAGTAAGTTTAGCGGTCAGCATATTCCACCACTTCACTCCCTATCATTAAACTGGTAGTGGATGTGGACCAATTCTGGAGCATTATCTTACATTTGAAAGGTGCGGATCACATGCCAAACATGCACAGATTTCTGCTCAAGATGTTCAGAAGGCTCTACATCTTGTCAGGGTGTTCACTCAGCAGGGAAATATAATAGGTATTTTCCAAGTCAGCCTGACAACCTCCAAGGAGTTGGTCAATCCTTGTGAAGTTATCCGAGCTGAGACTTCGTCAGCGAAAAGCCCGTTCGGTGGGCTGATGCAACTCTGAAAGTAGGTGAAGCGATTGCTTTAGAAAAGGCAACTATTCACTAGTCTTTTCTAACGATTGCTCACGGCAATATAATCTGTGTTCTTCGTTGTCCTGATGTCGACAGTTGTTAATTAAGACAATACTTATATGTGAATTTGTTTCTGGTTGTGAACAAATGATACAAACTCTAGAAAACGACCAAGAAGACAGACAAAATCGACATGGGACCTGGCATTACTGCGTAACGGTTCAAGTCGTTAACCCTATGTCAACACACCAAGCAACAATCCGCTAAGATGAGAGATAAAAAATTAGAGTCAGTCAAAAATGAACAAAGAAGAATAAAAGGATACTGAAATTCCGTGAGAAGGCTAATATAAGGATAGTGTGAGTCATGTCATCCAGAGTCTTCAACCGCTAGTTTATGTTATCACGCGGATCCCAAGTGAGAAGTCTACATTTCCCTATACGGCTCACATCAACAATCATAGACTTCATGTATTAATGCTATGTTTTAGTCTGGCAGTCCGTAACAGTTTTCTGGCCTGAATATTGTGCTACGAGACAGGCAATGACTACGCATAGGCTACACAAGTACATGTCAACTAAATCTATAACAGTTCACGAACCTATCGACTGACTTTCCTCTTTTCCCTAAAATTCTTCAGCTGACCTCTACGTTACCCACCACGATCACTATTATCGTTACGTTTTCACGCAGATATACGGCAGATATTTCCCGACTAATTCAGCCTTCCTACTCGAGCACCGAAGTCACTCACTAGTATGACTGTATCTGAACTTTTACGTCTCGTAGTGAAACTGACAACTTTTGTCCAAACCAATTTTTGTCATCGTCCGGATTTCAGTCATCAGGTAACTAGGCATAGACTACAAGCAGAAATCGACATGCAGAAGTCCTTCAGAACTTATAAAGGCACCTCCAACTGTACAGTAACCAGGCTACTGACAAATTCAATGGAGTTCAGAAACGCCTGTTCCGTCCCAAAAAATCTAGTGCTATCTGCACAGCAGCAACTCGACAAAAAAAGTCGTCAATTTCTTCAATAATCCCATGAAATATGGTACTGATCAAACAAACTGACTAGATGAAGTTACGTGAATAACCGTACTTGAGTCTTGTTTGCAACTCTCAGAAATACGACATAAATTCATAGGCCAAGATAATAGTACATTGATTGGTCACGGGAGAGCGACCAATCTCATGTTGGTTATATATATATATATATATATATATATATATATATATATATATATATATATATATATATATATATATATATATATATATATATATATATATATATATATATATAACCGAATTTCATAGTGCCACTTTTTCTGGCCAATAATAATTGAGTACCGTGATAATTAAACTACCTTCAAGTCTTTGAACGAAACTAAATTTTGGAGTCATTTGTTACAGTAGTGTCCCTAAGATGTTTATCGACATTTTAAATGCCTTTTACACTAATACCATAAGTTTGGGGCAAAACAAGGTTCCAGAAGACATTAAAATCCTTATTAAGCGAAAGTTTTCCCGTATATCATGACTTATTTTACTCAGATCTCAAGGTCAAATGAGTCGTGTCCATAACTATAAGTACTTTGCGCTCTTCGAATGCAAAGTACTGAAAAATGGAAACCAATCTAGTTGAATTTTTGATGACGAATGGGTAAACAATACCAACGTTTGAGTAACGGGGTTCAAAAATACAATTAAACCACAGAATCATACTTAGGCCTGAAGTGTTTGAGTGTAATGATAGCCATTCCATAGGTGATTTATCACACACCACTTACTTCAGTAACCTGAACACGTTTCTCACACTCAATCTCAGTAGTTTACATATATACCATTGCCTGAAACCAGATGGAACATAACATCAGAAATGGTCATTTTATGATATGGCACTTTCGAGTGAAGGATAGGTTTTATGGTTGTTTGTTAGTAGACCATACCTAAATGGCGAATTTACGAAAGGAAAAAATGCTAACTTGTTAAGTAAGACAGCTTCGACAGCTTTTCATCTGCAAAAACTAAATGAGCTGTACTTTTTAGTTTTTATCCATTTCCTGTCTTAGTTACTAATATGCTGCATCTTTCCTCAACGTTTTTTAAAGTTCACATGCATGACCTTAACAAAACAAAACAATAGTTGCAAATGTTACACACGATTTAGCGTAAGACGGTTGTTATCACTTGGTCAAACAGATTTAAATATCCTACCTTCAACTGAGCAGCCGCAAGGTTATTTTCCAACTTGATTTTCGCATCATTAATAAGCTCCATTGAACATTCACTCTCTGCAGGTTTATCACCAGAGGATTGTGTCGGAGGTGGGGGAGGTAAGGTTAGAATTTTTAACGCTTTGTTGTAACTATCAATAGCGAAAGCGAACTCGTCTCTCCTGGTTAAATAAAAATGTGATCTTGTTCAAAATTACTTGTAATAATAATTGCCCCTGTCTTTTTTTCGATTAGCAACGACGAGTCTTTCCGAACTTGACATACTGGAGTAACAAGGCGGATCATCTACTTTCAAAACCTCAATGCGATAAGTTAATTTGGCTTCTGGTGGAATATCTGGATCTCTAAAAACAACATTCAGAAATTTCTGTATATGAATTTGTTGAAATACTAGAACTAAACATTGAGCTGATTTTTGTAATAACAGTTTTAGCATATTCGTACCTTTTAAAAACCACTTTCGAAATCCTATGCATAAAAATACGATATTTCTAGTTTAGCAGTTCATTGTTCGCTTTTATACTGAAACAAAATATATGCACAATAAACATTTTTAAGAATAAATACATTAGAAACATCCAATGAAAATAAATATACGTGACAATATATGACGGCTGAAGACACCATCCAACTTTGCAGACTTAGATAAAATGGGTTAGAACACAATTGTAGTAGAGAGGAACAGAAATCTTTGAACACCGTATGGCTTGACCACAACGAAGCGATAGTTTTGGAGATCGCGTGAAACTGGAATCAATCATCACTGAGAACTGGCATTCGAACAAGTGCAGATACTGCTCTTAAGTATTTCACACTAAATTAAATATATACCCCACAATTTCCGTCTTAAGAACATTCTATGCCCTTCAAGTAGGAAAGATGAGAAAATTGAAAGGCATTATAGATGTGCTTAGCGAATGCCATCCCAACGAACCGCCAAACGGTGATCGTTTGTTGCACCTTCTTTCTGACAATCAGTTGTTCCTGGTCAGCACTAAATTTAAGCATAAGGAAAGACACTTTCACATAGCGTCCGCCGACATCAAACCAATGATGGACACAGACAGATCGTATTGCCATAAACTATCGTTGTAGAGGACCGGTAGAGGATTGCAGCTCTTTATCCAGTACCTATTTGGACTCCGATCACGCGTTAGTACGTACTGGTGTATGTCTGCGCCTTAATAACCGCAGAAAAAGGATGACAGTAAAACCCGTCTGTGGTCAATTGACAGGATGAGAACATCAAATACGCATATACGGAGGAGTTCGCTAGGCATTTATCTGAACGTGACAGCAATCCTCAGCCTCAGGAAACCTGTAGTAGCATTAAGTTTGCTGCAGAAACAGCAGTAAAAACAGGTGGCAACCTACACACAAAGTTTGTAAAACGCCGCTGGATTTCCGCAACGTTATCCGAAAACATTGATATGAGAAGATTGATTCCAACAGGCTCTGGTCGCGATGAATAGTGAAACAACTTAGATGTGAATCAACGATCAAAGACAGCGAGCCGTAGTGGGTAGCAAAAGCGAGAGAGGTAGAGAAGGCAACACTGTTGGGTAACACGCGGGAATTATTGATAATCATTAGGGAAACCCGACAAGAAACAGATGGTTAGTGAAACCATCTTCGAAAAGAATGGAACGTTCATAATGGCTAGGAACGGCGGCTAAGACGTTGGGTAGAACACTTCGAAAACCCGTTCAATTGGCCTTCAGAACAGTTTCAGCTTCCCAAAATACACCAGAAACCTGAATGAAACGAAAATGTCTGTCCTACAACACTTCGTAAAGTTGAGAAGGCTGTTCGGAACCAGAAACGCTGTAAACCAGAAGGATCTGACAGTTTGCCACCCAATGTTTTCCAGGATAGACGTAGGAAATTGCTGATTAGAGAAACGGAGGTGGTAGATAGCGTATAGGACTCAGAGGTAGTCCCGTCAGACTCATCTACTTCACGGATCATCGCAGACTATAAAAGGGGAGAGAAATCTTCCACTGACAACAATAGCGAAATTAGTTTGACTAATATTGTGTCCAAGATCCTAGTGTCCGCAATTATCCTATGCCTAACTACAGCTGAGCAACATCAAGCTGGAGAAAACCAAGCAAGTTTCAAACCTGGATGAAGGTGTATCAATCAGATTTACACCCCTCTACAGGTTTTGGAACAAATACATACTTACCAGTGACTTACACCCGCCATATTTCCTTACCTGGAGGTGGGATTCAACTCTGTCGAACGTGAAGTGTTCTGATAGTGTCTGACTGTGAAGGGAGTGTCGAGCAATTATGTACACCAATTAAAACTTCCTACTGGAACTCATACAGCCGTATAAGGGCTTATGGAGAGTTGTCATTGGAATTGACGGCAACAAGTGGTGTTTGCCAGAGATTCCATCACCGTTCCTACTTAACTTCTTTACATATGTACTAATGCACATACTCCTAGATGCTTCTAACTTCACAGGGATTGACCAACTCCTTGGAGGTTGTCAGGCTGACTTGGAAAATACCTATTATATTTCCCTGCTGAGTGAACACCCTGACAAGATGTAGAGCCTTCTGAACATCTTGAGCAGAAATCTGTGCATGTTTGGCATGTGATCCGCACCTTTCAAATGTAAGATAATGCTCCAGAATTGGTCCACATCCACTACCAGTTTAATGATAGGGAGTGAAGTGGTGGAATATGCTGACCGCTAAACTTACTTGGGAGTTGCATCAACATGACGAAACCTCAGCTCGGATAAACAAGGCCTGTTTGGCATTTGCCAACTTGCGTCGTCTCCGGCACCAACTACCGAAATACCTGATTATCTATCAAAGGACGAGTATACTGCGCTACAGTCTGTTCTGTCCGTCCTGTTGTACGGCTGTAAGACATGGTCGTTAAAAGTAGAAGACATGTAGCGATAACAGGGTTTTGATCACAGATGTCTTCGTAGTATTGCTTGCGTTTGGTGGAATCACCGTATGAGCAGTGTCGAAGTCAGGTACATGGTACTAGGCGAGACAGGCAAGTCGGTTGTGAACCTTCATCGACTGAGATGGTTTGGACATGTACTGTGCATGTCGAGCCACCGCCTACCATTACACGTAATGTTGGGGGAGTTTGGAAGGGGGCTCAGGGTGGCCAGACCAAGACGTGGCATCAGTCGATGAAGTCCCGGATTATTGGTCTGGGTCATGTGGGTGGATGCAAACTGCGTGGTTGGGGTCGGCGAGACGAAAGGAGTTGGTGGTTGATGACTCTTGGTGATGTGACTGGGAATCGGTCACAATGGCGCAGACGTATTCACTCCTTGATATCTAAAGGCTGAATACTTGCGCTAAGCTCTATCTTCAAAAATTCTCTCACATAACGTTATCTTTGATGCTACTCCTCTTCTGTCCACCTGTTTTTTGTGTACTACTGTAAAGTGTGGCAACCTGAGCTGATGCACCTGTATGCGAAGTTCTACGTTGATTTTGTCTCTGTCCCATTGCAGCCGCTTCTGACTACGATGAGGAGCGAAAACAGTTTAAACGTACACTAACTAAGAGTCTTCGCAATGATTGTCAGCAGTTGTGGGTGGCGAAAGGGAGAGGGATGGGGAATGCATCATCAGCTTATAGTACCTGGCAATCACTTAGACAAAAAGACGATAGTTAGTTTGACCTTCACCGAAGAGGATGAGACCCCGATTGTCTCTCAAGACAGGCTGCTAGAGCGTTGGGCGGAACACTGTAATAGTTTGACTGATCTGCTACGACGTATCAGTTGCTCAGTGTCCAGCCCGAACCTGAATGGGACCTAAATATTGACCTTCCAACCCTTCTCAAGGTTGAGAGGGCTGATAGAAGCCTGAAGTGATGTACAATAGCAGGACCAGAGGGTTTGCTACTAGAAAGTTTTAGGTGGTAGGTAAGAAGTTACTGAGTAGAGTGAGGCAGGCACTAACGAAACGTATGGAGATCAAAGGTATTCCTGTCTGGTGTTTCTAGACTGGTAATTCCAGTTCATAAGAAAGGAGGAGTCATACTGCTGTTAAAAAAGGCTATCAGTTTAACACCACATTTGAGATCGTTGCGTCCACAGTTATCGGGAACTTCAATGAAAACTCGAGGAAACGAAACAATTTTCAGACCTCACTGAGGGTGCATCGATCACTTTTTCATCCTTCAATAGGTTCTGGAACAAACGTGTGCTTGCCGGTGACTGACACTCACATTTTCTCACCTGAAGACGGCATTAGACGCTTTTGACTGGGAAGTGTTGTGTGTCTGACTGTGAAAGGAGTACCAAGCAACTGTGCAACACTAATCAAAGCTCTCTATTCGAAATCGCGCAGTTATATAAAGACGCATAGAGAATTGTCACCAGGATTGCCCACTGTCACCGTTCCTATTTAACTCTATCATAGACGTACTAATGGACATAACCTTAGATACGTCTTACCTCATAAATACTGACCTACTTCATGGAGATCACCCGGCTGACTTGGAATATGGAGACGATAATGTCCTGTTGGGTGAAGACATTGACAAAATACAGGGTCTTCTGAACACCTTGAGCAGAAATCTGAATATGTTTGGCATGCTCTTCGCAGTTGTTAAATATCAGATGACGGACGCTCTGTAACTACTCCCGATTTAATGATAGAGAGTAAAGTGGTGGGATATGCTGACCACTTAAATTACTTGGCAGTTGCATAAGCATGAACGGGCCAGTTGCTATCAAAATCCCAAGTCGGATAAAGGCCTGTTTGGCATTTGCCAGCTTGCGCCATCTCTGGTGCCAACTGCCAAAATACCTGATTATCTATCAAAGGACGAGTATGCTCCGTTGCAGTCCGTTCTGTCCTGTTGTACGGCTGCGAGACGTGGCTGTTAAAAGTAGAATACATGAAGTGCTTACAGGTTTTCGATCATATGTTTACTTGGCATTGCTCACGTTTGGTGGAATCACTCTGTGAGCAATGTTGAGGTCTGGTACAGGGTACCAGGCAGGACAGGCAAGTCGGTTGGTACGGTTATGGACCCTCATCGACTGAGGTGGCTTGAACATGAATTGCACATCTATAGAGAAATTGAACAGAAACGATAATAGCTGGTGGGCACCGTTAAGTGTCATATAGTTAGACGACATGTTGATATGCCGGACGGAAACATTAATTTAGAGCAACGCCACCCGGTACATATATTAACGAATTTTTTTAACTACTGGGATCTTGTGATACTATTCGGATATCCAGGCTGAAGTAGGTTGAGCGGCTATTGAACCTTGACCTAAATGGCTGACAGATGGATTTACACCAACAACCCTCAGTTTCACAAAAAAATGCACATAGAAAAGCATCAAAACTTTAACTAGAGCGATATAATTAATAATGGCTAAACAACCAACGAAACGACTTCGTAATAACTATGCTATGACGTACTTCAACAACAATAAAAATACTTGTGAAAAACGAAAAGTGTCTAGGAAAAAAGTCTCCTGTAAGTTTTGTAGGGGGATTTTTAGTCTGCCATCGAGATTCTAATAGGAAATTTAAACCAACTTTCTCAGGCAGTTAGCTGTCAAAAGGTCCATTCTGAGAGTTACCCATTGCCCAGAAACTATTTTTTGAGGTTGAATGAAAATCTCTCGACCAATTAATCATTGTACTCGTAACTAAGAAAGACAAACCAGAGGGAAAATGACTTTCATACGAATTAAGCCCCGTAAGTGATGTCCTTTCAAGACGAGCTAATTAATACTCCGAAGTTTAATCATGGGAAATTCAAAAAATGTTCGAAATTCCGGAAGTCAACACCGAACAATTTTCAGTGCTGAAGTCAGTTCAAAGTCCTCGTTAGCTGAAGATTCAGTGCGTGACAAATGAAGATCGGCGAAGACAGCTTTTATCCGCACTACAGGGGAACAATTGACTTCGGCCAAACAGCCCACCTTTGAAAAAAAAGATAAGATGTATGTGGATGTGACTGAGGCCACAGAAAGACTTTAATCATGGGTAGTGCTACTAGTCAAAACCTAAGCAGTAATTGGTTGTACAAGGTCAGTTGGTTAGTTACTGCCTGTAGTGGCTTTCGTTTATATCCCCTCCGACTTATAAGATCAACCACGAAGTAATAAAAATTTAGAAAATTGCATTAATGACAAAATTGTACAGCCTACCGTCCACGAGATCCATATGCAAACCGGGCATCCGTAGTCAGCTCAAATATTTCTTTGTGTTCAGCAAGCGGGATTGAAAGATCAAATGCTTGACGCAGATTTCAGAGAAAAATTATTCTCTTACCATGTATGACATCACCATCTCCCAATACTAAGTACGCATTTTCTACCTCGTCTACAAGTGTTCCATCTTCAAGGCAGCAACTGTAATTCACCACGACTGAATCACCATGACTGGGACGTGTCTCCCTACCTAGGCCCTTTTGCAAAGTCTGCAAAGAAATAATAGATTACGTCAAGTTGCCTTTTTAATAATAAGACCATTCCCAAGCACATCAATTGTATCTAGACAGCTTGTGACATCGTCAGAATTACATGCTTCAGTTTTAGTGGCATCAAATGAAGTTTCAGGTGTATTTTTGTCTCTTAATGCTTCCTGCGAAGAAGGTTTCACGCTGGAATCCCTAAAGTGATCTTGCTTAGACCCCTTCTTTCGTCCCATAAGTAACGCAACTGTCAATCCAAGCGCTTTGAAATGCAGCCCAGTATCTAATATTCACTTTAAATTCACAAATAGCGTTAAAGAATTAGTGAACTATAGTTCTTAAAGTTCTACGTCTATCTTATTGAGGCAGGTTTTAGGCTTGAACTAGTCACAATTATCTTCCTGGTTCCGAAAAGCCTGAAAGGATAAAAATGATTATTAATTAATCTGGCCTCAAGATAGGATTACTGCTCCTGATCTGTAGATGAAGTAAAGCTTCTCCAGTACAGCCCATCAGTATCACAGGACTCCATCTGTGCATCCAACCTTCTTTTGAAGGTCTCATGGGATCGAGCTTTAACAATTCCTGAAGGAAGGGAGTTCCAAAGTTTACAAAATCTAACTGCAAACGAGTTTGCACGGATCTTTGTGCGTGCTCTCTTGTGCTCTATTCTTAACGAGTGACCCTCAAGGAGGCGTTCTTGATTAAAGTTTAGGAGGGACCTGTTATGATGAAGAGAACCATGCGCAATGTGGTACATCGTGATCACTATTGCACTGGATGCAGCTTAAGAGCAACTAAGCGGTCTGTGTGATTTTTTGTGACTTAACTGAACCGCCTCCTCTACAGCTGTCCCCTGGGCTCTGGGATGGCGATGTACTGCTTTAAGTATGGGGACATCACGAGCGAATTCTTCTCAAGATGAGGGCGAATACACAGTTCATACACTGTGGTGAAAAGAGGAGTTGGACACCCTGTCGTTATCGAAATAAACCTGGACATTTCATAGGCCTTGTTGGCAGCAAGGCGACAGTAAACCGAAGCCCCGAGTGTGTTGATTCAAGTAACTTCTGGGTCTCGTTCCATTTTAGGGTGGAAAAAATACTTATTTCAGCCAGAGAGTAAGAGCTAGGGCCGCTTCTGTATTCGTCAACTATCTTTATCCTACACCTCCTCGAGTTGAGTGGGAGCAAGTTTCCTGTGATCCAATTCAGAGCTTCCGTAAAATCCTCCTGGAAGACCGAAATATCCGTTTCTATACATATTTCCCTATAACTCTTCAGATCATAGTCATGTAATAGTGAATGAGAATTGAGGGATCCTGGTGGGTAATTCATGAAAGCAGGAAGCATTAGTGGACCCAGAACAGAACCTTGAGACACACCTCTCAGTATCGGGAGCCGAATAGATAAAGAGGAGCCCGCCTTAACTGACCGCAACCTAGCGCAAACATATCTCTAAGTCAAATTGGTGATTCTCTGTGTACACTAAAAGTCTGAAGCGTCTTACCTGGGATATCACGATCTACCCTGCCGGGAGCCTTGAAAAAGTCAAGTGAACCAGTGTGAATGGGCTTTTTCTGCTCAACAGACGGAGCCCAGCTGTCTCAAGCTATCAACGAGTTGATGCTGCGTAATCCTACAGGTAAAAACCATGTTGACAGTAGTTTAAGACTGAATTCTTAAGTGAGTAATCACGAAGTGAGTCATTACTGTTTCCGCGACCTTCGGTACTGGGCAGATCAGGGAATTTGGACTATAGTTAGTTTCCGAATTTATGTACTGGGACGGCAGCCACCCATTTCTAGTCAGAAGGTTAGCCGCATTCCAGAAATGAGCGTCAAAAGAGGTTTGTTAGCAGGGCACTTAAAACTCTTGAGTACTCCTGGGTAAATCCCGTCAACTCCCGGCTACTTATTCGGGTCACGAGTTCCATGAGACTCCCACGGTTAAAGGAGGTCCTAACTATGTGTGGCCAAGCCCCCTTGTGATACAGGTGTCCGACAGATGCGTAGTTGTCTCCTCCAACTGGCTCTACCCATGACCGATCAGCGGCAGGTGACTAGATCATAAAAATGTCAGAGGAAACGACCGCACGGTCACCCGACACCAAGGTGCTGCGAACATTTAAGTTGTTTACCCCAAAGAAGTGATTTGTGAAAGTATAATCTGGTCAGGATGCCTAACCATCAAACACCAAGCGAGTGCACTGAGACACGTGTTCAGCCAAGGAGTTTTCCAGTAATAATTCCTGAAAATCTCCCAGAGCAGCAGATGGGCTTTCGGTGGTAAAGGGTTAAAGGAAGTCAAACTCTCACATAATGAGAACTTGTGGAAAGTTCAGTTCCAGAGCTCTTCTAACGGATTGCACAAAGGTGATAGTGGCTCCAGAATGGCGGTATGCGACTCCAACTAAATACGAATCCCCACAGCACTTAATGCTACACCATAGTACATCTTTAGTGCTTATTGTATGGGAGAAAATCTCACGGATCTTCAAGGAGGAACAGTTGTAGAGAGCCACTTGGCCTCCTGAACTCCCTGGTCTGTCCTTCCAGGCTGGGTTAAGCTGTCCTAAACAAACTTCCTCATCTTTTATGTTCTATGTGGGCCAGGCTTCGAAGAGAGCCGTTGCAATAAATAAGTAAAGTATTATAGTTCTTATTTGTTCCCTGGGTTCCTAGTGGAACATACGGCTTCAGTGGCACGTCTCCATTCCACTCTCTTCTCTGCCATCTTTTCAACCTGACTCCACGATAGCCCACAAGTTCTCATTTCCTCCTCACACCATCTCCTCCACGTCACCCTCAGATCGGACGCACAACTCGTCGTTTCCCATCTGGGTTCCACTCGACGGCCTGGCATGGCCTGGCCTGGCGCCTGATGTCTCCAATCAGTCTCCTCACTGCATGTCCACTCCAATGCATCTCCACTTCCTTCCACTGCATATTTGTCCAGTGATAACTTCTTGGTTGGTTCGTTGCCAGACCAGACAGAGTCAGTTCCTTGTTGCTTATTCTTATTATTCTGGCCATCTGAGCTTCAGCAACGAGTCAGCGTAGGCAGTTGTTGATGAATGTCTGTAGTTTGTTGGAAATGCCTTTCGTAACGCGCAAAGTCTCTCAACCATATACAAGCACTAACTTGACTGAATTGGTGTTGAAAATCCGGGTCTTGTTCACGCTTTATGCTGAGTGCAAAAGATCTCCACACTGGTTTCAGGTTAATCAACGCCTGTCTTGCTTTTCTGATCCTGCCTGGCCTTGACGTCCTGGTCTGCGCCGCCTGTAGCTAAAACGATGTTACCTAGACAGGTGAAAGGGGCTGTTTCCTTTGGGTTTCTCCATTGGTGGTGATTGGAGCTTGTCGTTATTGGTGGTGGCGTTGGTTGGGTATGTTCATCACCTCTGTCTTCTCTACATTCACCTGGAGTCCCGTTTTCGCGGCTCCTCCTGTCAACTTGTCAGTTTTTGCATGTAGATCTTCGAGTTTGTACTACTGGACACTGGACATAAATCACGATCAGTGAGATCCAAATCTTCTAAGGTCTTTTCACTGGTTTGGCCAGCGTATCCGCATCTTCTCACAGCTCCTCATAGTTTGCTGCATGATCCAGTCCATTCGACCACTATCAAGATCATCGATGATAATAGGCGCCAGCCTGGTCTTACTCCTGTCTTCACCTCAAAGCTTCACTGCGCTTCCCATTTTGAGTTGCTTGGCATATGGCATCTCTATATAGTTGCTTAATGAGGTTGATAGAGGTTTGCGGTATTCCATGGTGTCGAAACAGCTGTCAAATTACTTCTTGTTTAGCGCTGTCGAAGGCCTCTTCAAAGTGGATGAAGTTGATGTGGAGGGTTGACTGTCATTATATGCTCTGTTCTACGATGATGCGTATCATTGGAATTTGGTCCGCACGTGATTTGCACTTCCTGACGTCAGCCGCCCTGTTCCGGTTGTAATTTTGAATGCAGCGCATCTTTTAGTCCCTCGAGAATAAATAGAGAAATGAATTTTTTATTCTGAAGTTAAGAGGTTAACGTGAGAGAAGCCAGTTTACAGGCAGTATATTGATGAAGGTAAAGAAATCTCCAGTACTTGAGCTGTCCTGTATGACACAGAAGGTATCGCATCACGGTTTATCATGATAGTGAAAGTGACTACAAGTTATGGAAAAAACAGAAAATATCACTTCACAGTACATACAGATTGGTCATGAGTTTCGGTCGTCTCCACTCACTATTCTTTTTACACAATAAAGTGACACCAAAGTCGTACAACTTTCGACGCCTGCGTCACATATGCCTGGATGGCTAACCTGGTGGTATAGTTCCGTGCTTCGTGGGATAAACGTTTATTTCGACATCGGTTAACATGTTTATGGTATCGTTGGCCAACGAAAACTCACTTTATCGACTTCAGGTAACAGTAAGTGTTAGCATAACCATATAATCCACGCGAATATATAATTCCCCGCATTCCCCACTCCTAGCGCGACGTTACTCAGCAATATAGGCCTAATCCATCAGAAATAATCGTTGCTGTACAAAGAAATAAACATCTGGAGGAATATCATCCAACAGTGATTATTACTATAATATTATTGATAGTGATGGAGTTTTGCACATAGAATTCACATTGAAGCATACAGCATTATCAAGGACGTGTATAAGTCTGTCAATTGTCTTCCGTGAAACGGAGTCAAATGAGGTGAAGTACCTGAAAAGTTTGTTTGCAAACATGTTCCACTTTTTTGGTCACTAGGTGAGTTTATTTCCTAGACTTAGTTGTTTGTCCAGATTTTCGCTGCCATATCGACCGTCCAGAAGCCTTAGATTATTTATTGTAGTTGGATTTTGGACATGGTTGCATCTAGGACGCTGATAATTGGACGAGTTTGCTGTGGAACGTTTCAGAAATTCGAAAATCAATAGGGGAAGACCAGTTGAAGGATTCTTCCAATAATTTCTGGTATCAAATATGAAGCAGTGTATTCAGTAGGTTGAAAGCACGAGAAGAAACCGAAGAATGACATACCACACAAGACGAAGTTGGGAGGGGGGAAGTTCCTATCTCTGAGACGCTCAAGCTATATGCACACTTTAATTTATGCACATAAAAATGACTCTAATGATTTTCCTACGTAAAATTCGTACAAGCTTTTGGATATACCGTATTCATTTGTGGACGTACGGGTAAGACTGACTCTACATCAGCGTGATATGTACTTTACT